GAATCTCTGCGGGGACGCGGCGAGACGAAGAAGTCAACGACGAAGGAAAGAGAGGAGAATCGCGCGCATCGCGCTCGGGACGCGTGGAAATCGTGGCTGGTTGTTCCAGTTTTCGCCGTGCGTACGACGATCGTTGGATAACGGTGACCTCCGGGGGACAGCGGGTAACCCCATAGCCGTGAACCTTCCTGGCTCTCGTGTGCCGTTGACAATGGAGATCCGCGATCGTCTCGCGGGGGTCTGCACGCGATGACCCGCGCGCTTCCTGAGAAGAGGACGGGTCTCTCCCCTCGCCTCGACTCTCGAGGAGGAAACCCGGCTAACGGGAGCGTGGCCCCGCTTCTAGCTGCCTCGAAGGCTTCTCACCCTTTGTTCCAAGCCGCGGAGGCCAATTCCGGCTAGACGGACGGCGATCGGCGCGTTAGACACGCGAAACGGATCCAGGCTGCGGAACGGGAACGGCCGCAAAACTAATTCGCCAAACCGCCGCGCCAGAGAGATACCGCCGTGCCGCGCCGATACAAGCTAGTTACCTCTACCGACAGGACACTCGAGAGCCCCGACACACCCCCGGGAGACCTCAAAGGGATGAAACGCCGGTCGCGTGTGCCCGAGCCCGCCTGCCCGCGAGATTACAGGCCGGCACGGGGCTGACTTCGATGTAAATCAATCTGACCAGCCTCTCCCCATTGCCTCTGGCCGACCTGCAGCGGTCTATGGCGAAAGGTGAACGACAGAGGCCCATTGCCGAGTATCGAAGACTCGGCTTCGAACTGTGAAGTAGCCTTCGTATCGCCTGTCTACGGATTTCCGATGTTCGAGGAAGATTCGTTTAGAATCTCTACAGTGAACTAATTTTATCTTAGTACAATTGTCTTAGAATATGATGGTTCCTACTTTGTGTTACCTTCTCTTATTGAATCAAGTACATCATCTGAATTTAACCTATCTACGGATTTCCGATGTTCGAGGAAGATTCGTTCAGAATCTCTACAGTGTGCTAATTTTATCTTAGTACAATTGTCTTAGAATATTGATCCTGCATGAGGGTTTCTACTTTGCGTTACCTTCTCTTATTGAAACAAGGACATCATCCGAATTCGCAATTACTTCTTAACCGCGGCGTACAAAACGTCGGACAATAAAGTATTATATATAGTAGTATAGTATTAGTATTATATATAGACAATAAAGTATTGTATCAAGTCCCCGCCAGCTCTTATTCTTATAAGGTGAGTCGCACCTTACCGGAGCTCAGACGTTCTGATGTACAATGTCACGAACGGTGCCATGTGTCCGACAAGGGTTAAAAACGTAAAACACCTATTCCAGCTAAGTAGCTCGTAAAAAGAACCATTGGGCAATAGAGGAACACAAAATTCCTCGCATTTGAATATAAAATAAGAGGTTGACTTCGGGGGGGACTCACCGGAAGGAGAAGGACGGAGAGGGCCCGGCGTACCAAATTAGATCAACGACAAAATGGAGGCCGGGCTGCACTTATTGAAAATTACTCCTCGCGTGCTCCGGCCGCTCGACGATGGGAGAGAGAAAGACAGAGAGGGAGGTAAGGGTGAAAACGGATGCTCCGCGATTAGGCTAACAGAACGGCATCCGGCTTAATGAGTTCGAACGCTTTAAGGCGCGATATTTTCACACCGTAGCCGCAGAATCCAGCCGCGGGCGATGTCTGAAAATGGCGGGCCGCTGGAAACAAGGAGAAACATGTGTAGTTAGTATACATATAGACGGACGGAGCCGAATAAATGGCCATAACGGCCTGCTCGGCTGTGTCCACGCGCGTATATTCGTTAATTTTCTTACCGGCGAAGGTCATTCCACGGGCGGACGGGCATCGGGACGCGGAATCGGCGAGATGGGACAAAAGAAGGCACGAACCACGGGCCGTTTAACGTCACGACCCATCCAATTTTCCAGAGTCTGACTCGGACGATGGTCAGCGCGTTTGGTTACATGCCCCGGAGTCCTCCTCCTCCCCTGCCCCCTTGGACGTTGGAAAGGGGGATAGCTCCTGGACACAGGGCCCGCTTTCGGTTCCATGTTTTCCGGCTTAATTAACGACGTTTACGTTCATCCGATCACCGTGTTTATTAAGCTGGTCACTTCAAAGCGGCGATTCCGTTTGAACGGAACCCGACCGCGGCATTAATTCCGCTGGCCGATCGACGGGTCGCGGCTTAAACCTCGGTCATATTCCATTTCTATCCATTGTCCCTCGGGCAAGTCGCTTTAACCCGTTTGCCGCGCGATTTGCTGGTCATCGACGTCCATAAAAATCCTTCCATGCGATTCCTCTATATGCGTAATTCACGCTAAAAGCCCTCCGTCGAATGTCGGTCGCGCCGCTAAAAATCACCGCGTCGCGGACGATTCCGAACGATTTTCCACAGATGAATCCTTGTGGCTGGGGTCGCGCAACCCTCCGCGACTACGAAGTCACCTAGTAACTTTCTCAAATCAAATAATAGGTTGTATTTCAAAGGCAAGGCTACTATACAATCCATTAGAACCGATGCTTTTCTTATTCTACGCGTACGAACGAACGTCGAGTCGGCGGGATCCTCGAAGCGACCACAAAACGGCGTTGCCATCCAAAGAAATGTAAATGTATGTACGTCGTTTGGGTGTTAGACGGTGATACAGCCGGGTCCGATGGAGAGGAGCCGGGGAGAGAAAGCAGGGTTTCGTGTAAAATTGCTAGAAAATTACAGATAATACCGTAAAGCGGATCGATGATCGTTAGCCCGATCGCCACAGACCATCGGGACCTAGGAGCACCGAAATGACGTGTAGAAGTGCTCGGCCGGGTCTGTCTAGGATGAAAAGAGACCGCCGTGCCGCTTTAGGCGGTCCCCGTCTTCGGGTAAGCCCGTCGGCATATGCGGTTCGCGTGCACCGATGCATCCGTAGGATCGCAGTAACAGGTGCAGATGCAGAGGAAGCGATCGTTAGCCCGACAGCCCGCGGTGCATGTGCGCCTATTATGATTTCTTTCGTAATTAGTCCCCCCAGCCTGACCACCCCACAGCCGTGATCTCCCTCTCTCGTACGCGTTATTCGGGCGTGTACCTATTATTTATTTGGTCGCACGCATGCACGGGCCGGGGAACCATGTGCCGCCCTTTTGTCATTCATGCTTCTCCGCTCCGCGTCTTCGGGCCACGGTGACGTTAATGACGATGACCTTGAACTTCCCTTCGCCCTGTCGCCGTTGCCCAAGTCTCTCTCTCATATTTGATGTGTCGCACTGGAATATTCCGGGGACTGTTGGGCGCGATCCTCTCGGCGTGACCTCGTTACGCGCCGACGAAATTTTCATCTCCCAGCCACGAATGCCGGAGGTGTTTATGGCGATCAAGCGATTTACACAGCTTTGGCCCGTTTCAATGGGCTAATTACCGACGCTTAAAACGTATTATTGTCGCGCGCGAGATTTACCGAAAGCGTCCCGTGAAAACGGTTTAGGAAATCTACGAGCTGGCAACGCGTCCAATTTATGGATGCCGCGCGGCGGGGGTGGTTGTGAATGGATTCCCGATTCCACAGGATCCCATTCTCATGGAAAAATTCGCAACCGAACCAAACGGTCCGCGCGGCCGCTGGAAATTCGTTAAGACGATTTTTCGCACCTGCTCGGTGTCTCTTCCGTGGCGATCTCCGAATCGCCGGAGACACCGACGATGATTCCGGATCAAACGGCGGAGGACTACGGGCCAGAGCCGGGTCTCCCGGCGAGGTATATATCCGAGAAAGCGTCTTGCCAAGGGATTTCGCCGAGGGCTGGCTGTTTGCGCCTCTCGACAAATAAGGGGAAGTCGTTATCCCGTGGATGGGAGGAGTAATTAACTGCTTCTACCTCCTTTCTGTCCGCTCCACCTCTCAGCCAGCATCCTTCCTTTCCGGCTTCGGCTTCTACTCGAAGGAGCAGACTTAAGGAGGCCCGCTTAGGCTTTCACGGGGTCGTGTCTTCATTATTCACGCTAATCTGCTTTCGCCTCGCGCTCCCGCCGCCTCGAACTCACCCCCTCCGCGCCCACAGTCGCCTAACTCTACCAACTGGCCAGCAGTTTACCGGCATTTCCAGGGGAAAACAATTTTCTTAGAATAATCGCCGCACACAAAAATCGTTTGTTCGCAATCTCGTTCGCTTCGGAAAATTTACGGCACCTCCGGTCGAGCACAGTACGCACTGTATTCGATGTCAGGGCCTAATTACTCCCCCGCCTATTTACAACAATCGCTTCCCTCGGATTTTTAATAATTTTCGTTAATTACTGTTTTGTTCTAATTGCTCGACTGCGATAGGCTTGGGAAAACATAATTAACACCGAGGAAATCTGCTTAAACACTATTAGGTATATACTTTATGCCTGCATGATTCACGTTATACAGAAAAATTGCAGAGCAACCACCCTTCCAATATTCTATACGATCACGATAATTAAATAAGAATTCTGTAACGCTAAAAGTATTTCGATCGGTTCGGTAGGTTTAGTGTTAAATCGTAGGGAAACAGACGTCATTTTTAAACCTACAAAACTGTATGACCGTATCGAAGTCGAACAACTGGAAATTTCTTCGGAGTTGAGCCTAAAATTGTGCTATTTAATACCTTGCATTGCTGCCGACTCCGGTGCGAAATGCTCGCAGAGCGAATGCTTAAAAATCGACAAGATGGAGGCACGAGTTAGGAACGCGTGTTTCCAATATTCGCGGCGGACCACCTTCGGGAGGCGCCCCGCGGTGCTCGCCAAATTATGATGAATTGTTTTCTCTGTTAACTGGCAACGCCGACAAACGTGGCACCGCAGCACCCCGACCGAGATAATCTTTCACCAATTTCGAGTCGCTGATTGATCGTTCGTGATCCATCGGGCGATCCGTGCGAACGCATATCGCCGCGATGCAACACCCCCAAAACTTTTCTTTTCCCCTTCCGTCGCGCGGTGTTACAGGTAAGAATGAACACTCGCGGTCTATTGCGGTCTAAAAAATAATGTTTACAATTTGGAACTGGTTTACAGGCATGGTCTCTAATACATACATACTACTTGCCACAAATATGTTCCGAACGCAATAATTCGGGGTCGGCGTGTTGAAAATTGCACACGCGTCTCTGCGTTATGGACTCTAATGGTACTAATTATTCTTTAGTCCGTGCTCGGGTCTACATAGTGTTATTACTTCCCTTATTACCTGAGTCATGTACAAGCGAACTCGGTCGACGATCTATACAATGTTGGCAATCAGAGTGGGGCAAAGACTACCTGAAATGGACAGTGTCACTCGCAGGTTCGCACGGATTACTCAGGTCAAGGTAGTGAGCCGAAAAAAAGTATCAATTGCCTTTCCGATCAATCGGTTGCTAAAAAGCTGGAAAATGAAGAAAAATAAGGAAAATGCTCTCCTTGCTTCGCAGGTCAATCGCGACGAACCTAACGGTAGCACTTGGCCTATCAAGTGTCTGTTACGTAACCGGTTGAAGCTACAGACCTAGAAGGCACGGGAAGAATCGTACGAGCAGTTCGGGTCGAGTACAAGGTGGAGAGAAACGTGTCGAATACCGGACTGAAGTTTGAAATGCTATGAAATGTTATATCTGTATTCCTATGCAACGCTTCCACGAAACATCTCCCAGCAACATTATCTCATACACCAATATAGCATCAAAATGCTATCATTTAGGATATAAATGCCACAACTTATGTCTATAGTCATTCGTAAGGGTCGGCTGATCTCTTTAGTGCGGTAGGTTTAATAAGACGCTTTGACCTTGCGGCAGGTAGGCGACTTGGCGGGATTTGGAAAGATTGTGTGCGATATCTTCGGCGGCTTCGATTCTTCGCAGCTCGACAAGACCATCGCCGCATTCACCTAGGGACTTCGCGATTAGGCTAGCGGCCTGAGCGTCACCCTCCGCGGTGATGACCGCTGCTTTTTTCTGTTGCTCCGCCTTCTCTACAAGGAAACGAGCCTTTTCAGCTTCTTGCTGTGCTACTTGCTTCAACTCGACAGCCTGCGTGAATTCTTTGCCGAACGTTAGATGTGTCTGAAACAGAAACAACGCGAATATGTCAATTCCTACATAGCGGTAACAACCTATGTCGTAGAACTGAAAAGGGATGTTGGACTTACAAGGGAGATGTCATCCAATATCAATCCGAATTGAGAGGCTCTGTCTGTCAACTCTTCGCTGACTTTCTGAGACACAAGCTCTCTCTGCGTGATCAATTCCCCAGCATCGAACTGAGCAACTACAGCCTTCAATACCTCGGTAGTGATAGATGGTAATACTCTTTCATCGTAGTCTACTCCAAGAATAGTATAGATTTTGGGCAGGGACTCTGGCACTGGTCTAAAGAGGATACGAAGTGTGATGTTTACGTTTTGCAGATCTTTGCTTCCAGTTATAACGGGTACGGTTCTTGGTCTAGATCGAATATCAAATATGATAGGTTTCTGTACCCAGGGTACGTAGAAATGTGTCCCTTCTCCCACCACTAGGTTCTTTATTCCAGCAAATCTGTCAAATATAACTGCTCTGTGACCACCATCCACTGTAAGAAAGAAATAAATGCTTTGCAAAACAACTATCCGGCGAACAGATAGCCCGATTACTATGAAAGACAGAGGAGAACTCACCGTTATATAGGGCAGAGTTAACAACAGTTCCAGTCAGAGCCACGGTTAGGCCCAAATGCCCTAGTCTATTCATGAACTGCGCCATTTTCTATGAATATCTGAAAGAATTCAATAAAACAGCGTAATGAAAATACTTGACCCTACTCTGATGCAATCCTGGTAACTGGGTTCAACCATGGCCGAGTAAACCTAACCTGATCCTCTACACGACCAGCAAGCAATTTACGAAACAGTTAAAGGGGAATCTTAGATACTAATTGTTCTAAAACGAAGAAATGTATTCAAATTTCACGATTAGGATTGTATCAAACGTTTGTGGCAGGAAGATTTGGATAAAAAAACCGGCCGGGAGGAGCCCTAGTTCCTAGTCATTCTACGTTTAAGATTGGAACCACGATGGCATTGAATGATTGTAATAATAACGGAATAGTGCAACGCCGGCGGTTGTTTAAACAATAGAAATAATCCTTACGTAATGAATCCTATGGTCTACACTGGAATTATCACTTTTCTCCTCGTGCGGGGTACATGCGTTGATAAAAGTAAAATGGAGTCTGCGCCCGGCTTTAATGGAGAACTGAACTGCAGCGCCCTCGAGCGGCCGCTTCAGCGCGGCAGATTTAAATGCGTTCGCTCTGCCCACGGTCGGAATTCGATCGAACGATGCGAGCAAATCGATCTCCAATGCTAGACAGACGCGTTCAGGTGTTCTTGAATCGTAGCCGACGCAATTTATTGCAGGTACAAAATGGAAAAAAAATAAACGCCCCCGGGTGGGCTCGAACCACCAACCTTTCGGTTAACAGCCGAACGCGCTAGCCGATTGCGCCACGGAGGCAACCTGTTTCTCCAGCAAACTTCCATAAATTTAACCGGTGGTACAAAAAAATAGCACATGAAGTGTATTTTTTTACCTGTTAATTAATAAAATGGTTCTTACTAGTGTGGCAAGTGACCCAAAGTATCTCTCGGTATCAATAGAATTGCATTAGTAAAAGTAAAACTGGAAAATTCTTGTTTTTGACAAGATGTATTTATTTCTGAAGGAAGAATCTATTAAGAGGAGGGAAAGGAAACATAACTTCGGTTAGGTCCCCGGAAAATCGGAAGTTGGAAAATTGCGAATTTGATATGTAATAAATGAGCAAGAGAGTGTGCGAAATAAAACTTTTATTCACTGTTTTTGCAATATGTTGATACATCAGCGACTAGTTAGCGCCCTAAGACATGGTTTCCAGCTTCAATCAGGGTCTGAAGGTGGTTTAGCAAGACTCAGGATCGATAATCTAGTGGTAACAACCAAAGAGAACATTAACCAAATCACTTCGAGATGTTCCCATCTGTCGTTACCTACCTTCAACACGAAGTTTTTCACCACAAGTGCGTCATCGAAAAATTTCGTCGTGGCTAATTAAATCATAGCTCTGATAAACCTGTTCACGTTCTCTGACCAAGATTCCTCATTGTTCAATCGAGTTTTTGGTCACCTCGCAATATTCACTTGAGGCAGCCTGCCGAAAAGCAGATACTGCGAAGCAATTGGGTCTGCGGAGAAAATGATTTTTGCAATTTAGCATCAACGAATCACTTGAAAATTGAACTACATAAATTATATAATATATAATATATAATATATAATATATAATATAATATAATATAATATAATATAATATAATATAATATAATATAATATAATATAATATAGTATAATATAATATAATATAATATAATATATAATATAAATTATATGTATTGTTCGGACAGTTAAATGTTCTGCTTAAATTATAGATTGCTCATCTCTGCGTTTTACTCACCCATTAAGAAGTTCATCGTGGCTCTCCAAGGAGGACTGATACCACGGAACATGGATTTCCCCTTTTATACGGCGAAAATTGGCGGGTTTCGATAACAAGAGAAAAGACAATCGCTCGCGATAACCTCTCACAAAGGATTGGTGTGAACTCCCCACGATGGAGTAATCAATGCAAAAGATAACCCTCACCGGTATCGTTGAACCGGTTTGCTCTTTTCATTACAGCTTCGTTAATTGTGTAAATATGCGTTCGTCTTAAAGCGAACCGTAACGAACTTTTACCACGTTCCCGACTTTTCTAATTTTCCCAGCGCCCGAGGCATCGAAGTCTCCGTGATCGCGAACCAAAATGCTCTACGAAAAATCTATGCAAATCGAAGAATAATCCAACATCTCAAATTAATTAGAGACTTGTTTAAACGATAGCAGTTTAAATAACAAAAAGAGAATTGCCGTTCGATAAAAGTATCGCGAGTGCATGCAATTCGTTAAAAATGTTATGTTACTGCGAAGTCACCTTCGATAACGGATGGAACCATCGCGGAGATATTGGGTCAAAGTACCCAGTCTGTTTTCTCGAGATATTCAGTTCTGTGATTGAGGAAATAAATAATCGTGGGGGGGGGGGAGGAGGGGATAATAAACAACGTATTATCATTCTTCTCATGTCTATACTTATAATTACGTTAATACTGTCCCGGTGGAAAGAACGCGATCAATGTTCGACATCCTTTAGAAAATGATCCTTCAGCTTCTGCAACGCTTTGCCGCGATGAGAGATCTGATTCTTGACTTCTTTCGGCAATTCCGCGTACGTTTTGTCGCTGTCCAAGGGTTGGAAACAGCAATCCCAGCCGAAGTCCCGCGTTCCTCGAGGACTCACGATGGTTCCCTGTGTTCGACCTTGAAATAGTAGAACGGGTTCACCCGGTTCCCCGGTGGAATAAGCGAAAGTGCAAACCGCCTCCGCTGTTTTGTCCTCCCAGCCGTGAAGCATTTGATGAAGGCCCTCCGGACCGATTTTTTCCAAAAACCATTTGATGTAGGGACCGGGCAAACCCTTCATCGCGTTGAAGCACAAACATGTGTCCTCGACGATCACCGGACCCTTCACCAAATCCGCGGCAGCTCGACATTTACTGGTACAAATGTTGTCTATGCTCGCTCCCTGATATTCTGGAAGATCGATCGATTTGCTCGTAATTTCCCGGGGGAAATTTTTCCCCAAGATGGCCACGAATTCCTCGAGTTTCTTCGCGTTTCCGGTTACGAACACGATCGGCTTCGACATCCTGTAAAGTTCTGAAAAAAGTGGAAGGTACTTGATGCTGACATAAAAATTTCGCGCTCTATATTCGTAATTTAAGTTGGCAGCTCTTGATACGATTAATTCACGAATTTTGTACCAGATGGCATGTAGGAAACACGACACTTGTGTGCTTTGCACACATTGTTGTGCGAGAAACGCATGGAATCGTTGCCATTTTTTGGACAAATTAAATGAATCTTTATTTAGGTGTCTGGCCTGAGAAGTCTTGACTTAATCTTTGTCGAATTATGTCACAGAAATTTGATGAGTTGATTGTTTTTATTGAATAAGTTACCTTTTATCATCTGCTGCAACAGAAAAATGTACACACTCGACAACAACGTGCTCCTCCAACAGTGCTGCCAACAGTCCATCCTTTGCCAGTTTTTTACTTTCCCTAGTTCTCTTCCTTTGCTAAATCCACCCAATTTCTCTACCAATCTGTTTTCTAGGTTTCGTCGGTAGTAGTCTTTCTTAATCGCTTCCCAAAAATTAGGATCATTAGCATAACAGTCGCTCGCGAGAGGATGCAAAGACGTACGAATTGGAACGCCTTCTTCAAAGTTAAATAAATCAATGAAGAAGAATCGTATATCAAATTTTAAGGGCTCGTTATAAAGAGGAAGCTTCAATCTACAAGTCTATGGTAGACTCAAATACGGAAATCATTTTGTAATGTTTTTTAAGACATTTTAATTTGTAGCATTTTTGTAAGAAAACATGTCGCTGGTTTCCCACGCATTATGCCACCTAAAAATATTTTGGAGATAAATGAAGGATACCATGCGAAAGTAGAGAGTACAAGCTTTAAAATGAGATCAAGTTTATTGTCCTACGATTCCTAATAAGAAAGTTATAAGAATTTAAATATCAACCATTTTTTGGAGATCGAAAAGCTGTTTTTCTTGAGCAATTGCACATCATGCGCCATCTAGCGGCGGAACTCGAAAATACGAAAACAGAAAAACCTGAATAAACTCAGAAATTTGTGCCTCGCAATTAATGATTTATATCACAAAATATTCACGGTGAATTTGTGCACCATAATCATATCAAAATACCTCATAATTATTGCGGATTGTTATTTATTAAGAAATTGCTTCCCCGATACTTTATGTCCTATATAGAATACAGCATCGTTTGAGAACATGATTGGATATCTATTTATTACTCGTTTTTTATCGGACTTCTTTGCATAATATATATGCAGAAGATCATTGCGATCATTCCTGCATCCGCAAAGTATCTATTCTAGCACTAAATTTTGAGTTTTCATACTTTTTCCGAACATATGCATATTCTCATGGAACAGATTTAGTTCGGGAGTTTCACCGCTAGATGGCTATAGTGTTTCAGTGCTCGTGGACAAGCGATTTATTAAAAATTAAAACTAGCAATAATTATGAGGTTTTTTGGTATGAATGTGAAGCGTGGATTTACCACGAACAATTTAAGACCAAAAATATTAATTTTTTGTCACTAGTTTACAAGATATTCTGTTTTCTGTAAATTCATATCGCCACGTTTCATCGCTAGATGGCGCCATCGTCTACTTTTCGGCGTTTATATAACTATTTTGTTAAATATTTATCTATTGCTTGATTTTCCGTAGAATTTTATGAATGATATGGACGCAGGAAGGTTCAATGAACATTTTCCGGTATTTTTCATGTCGTTTTATTGTATAATAAAGTTATACGAACCGACCAATTGTTACGCAGAACGTGTGCTCAGAGTACGTACGTACTTAAGAATAATATTTTCATACTTTCCGTAGAGATTTTATAATTTTTAAGGATTGAGATTAATAAATAAAAAATCTACACTTCTTCTTTTATCCATTTAATGCGATTGGTGCAACATTAGTCTTGAAATACAACAGAAATTTCAAGAAGAAAGAACTTTTGTCCAGTATCGGGCATAGCTGTACGGACCATATAGTCCGTGGTTCGTCCACACGTTCGTTGACTAACTAGGGATTTTACTTTAGTAAGAATTTAAGATCACACAGAGAAATTTGTTCACTGTAAATGCAAAGCAGCAGCAGCGCAGAAATCTGTAGCAGCAGCTCAAAAATGCCGAGTCAAGAGGTAGTGACAACAAAAGTAGTAGTACATCCGCTGGTACTACTCAGCGTGGTGGACCATTATAATCGGATGGGCAAAATCGGCAATCAGAAAAGGGTTGTCGGTGTATTACTTGGATGCTGGAGGCCTAAAGGTGTTTTAGACGTGTCAAACAGCTTTGCAGGTTAGAATGACTCCAGCATTTCTCATTTACTCATGCAACTTTTACTTATTTTTACAATTTACTATCTGCAACTTATCACACACCTCTTAGTTATCACTGGAAGTGGATGCAAGTGTGAGATTTAATTTTAAATAACTCAGCCATTGTTGTTTTTCTTACAGTACCCTTCGATGAGGATGACAAAGACAAAACTGTATGGTTCCTCGACCATGACTATCTGGAAAACATGTATGGAATGTTCAAAAAAGTTAATGGTGAGCACCTACAATAAATTTTAAAGGATCAGAAATATGTTACCACATAAACTGAGTTAAAATTGTACCATTTAACGTTTCAGCTCGTGAAAAGGTAGTAGGATGGTATCACACTGGACCCAAACTACATCAGAACGATGTAGCTATCAATGAATTAATTAGGAGATACTGCCCTAATTCTGTGCTGGTCATCATTGATGCTAAGCCTAAGGACTTAGGTCTTCCGACAGAAGCTTATCAGGCTGTTGAAGAAGTGCACGATGTAAATACTTATTATACCGTATATCATCTAAAACCTATATCACAGGTAGTATAATGCTTGGTTCTTTACAGGATGGTTCTCCAACATCCAAGACATTCGAACATATCCCCAGTGAAATTGGAGCAGAGGAGGCTGAAGAGGTGGGTGTCGAGCATCTGTTGAGAGACATCAAGGACACCACCGTGGGCACCCTCAGTCAGAGAATCACAAACCAACTGTTAGGTCTAAAGGGTCTGCACGAGCAGATCAGGGAGATCAGAGACTACCTGTTGCAAGTTGGTAGCGGAAAGCTGCCGATAAACCATCAAATCGTTTACCAGCTCCAGGACATTTTTAATTTACTGCCCGACATGACTCAAAGCAAGTTCGTCGACTCTTTATACGTGAAGACGAACGACCAGATGTTAGTCGTCTATCTGGCCGCATTGGTCAGATCTATAGTAGCCCTTCACAATCTAATTAATAACAAGCTCACCAACCGCGACGCCGAGAAAAAAGAGGCTGACAAGAAGGAGGTGAAGAAGGACGATAAGAAAGAGGAGGAGAAGAAGGAGGAGAAAGAAAAGGCGAAAGCGAAGAGCCAATGAGCCGAGCGAGACCGAGACTAACACGTGCGGTTCTCAGACTGTTGATCTAACGAAAGTTCACCAAACTCACGAAGTTTGTCCATACATGTACAAATGTATTTCTGTGTTTTGAGACGGTCGACATTTTCGAGCTAACACCAAAAAAAAGAAAAAAAGAAAACGCTAAACAGATACGACGAATTTCCCTCGACGAGGTGTTCCAGGATAGTAACGAAACTCGGGCGAGTACTTTGCATTAGATAAAGGGTATCGATTACGCGTAGTTCCTTGTTACCTGTAATTAGGAACGATCGACTGCCACCTGCAACTTTTATGTAATGCACACCTCCCACAGTCTAGACGGTTCGAACACTGCAAACATGTTTTTTCTAAAGAAATTGAGCTTTCATAAGTAACGTGACGCTGCGTTGTTAATAAAAATGTAAAGAAACGGAAACCGAGAGCAATACCGATCATTCGAGCACACGACTTTATTTATTCTTCGTCAATACTCTGCGGGGGGCCACGGTGAACGGCTCGCATTTGTGTCATACGAAGCTTCAGACGGCGTAGCGTCGGGTCTCGAGCCTCGAGCCTTTCTCGATCCGTTCGAGCTTCGTCTGTCTGCAAAATCTCGATCCGGAAATCCTCGAAGTCCCGACGCTACACGCAAAGCGTACGCCCGGGGAGGATCGAAACTGTGTACCGTAAAACAGCATTTTCGTCATGCTTGTACCTGTACGATACATAATTTGAGATACACGCTGTTTTTCATTAATAGGCTTATCTCCTTACTTTATCCTTCGAACAACCATACTCTGTGCATGAAAAGAGAACGCGCTAGATATTCTCCGCGACGAAACAAACTTTCTTCTTCTCTCTACATCAAGGTGTACAGAACCAGGCACATCTGACTCAACAAAGTCCACCGACACGTCCTCCCGCTTCCACTGTACGCGATGCCCACGTAGGGCTCCAGATTAGTGTCGTTGTAATGCTGGAAGTACCAGTTGAACGAACTGTCCTCGATCACTTCGGCATTTTCATTCGAGGCCTCGTCCTTCTCGACGATCTCCTCCGCGGTCCCAACGTTCCTCTGAACAGCCTCGGCCACCGATTTCTGCCTCTCCGGCTCGGACATGAGCCCTAAACGCGGCGAAGGGACCTTCGTTATGGTTGGTCGACCTAGGGGACGCAAGTTCGCCGGCGAACCAGAAGAAGGCACCTGGCCCCCTGGAACCAGAAAAGCTGAAAGAGCCGAAGCTTCCGTTTCCCTGGAAAACTGCGACGCTGACACGTTCTTCCGGTTCTCTGACGTTGGAACTGTACCCTCGGTTGCCATAACACTCGAGACATCTAGAATCAATCGTAACTGTTGAGTACTTAATATATTATATATATATATATATTAATATTATTATATATAATATATATATATATATATATATATATATATNTCTAATTAATAACAAGCTCACCAACCGCGACGCCGAGAAAAAAGAGGCTGACAAGAAGGAGGTGAAGAAGGACGATAAGAAAGAGGAGGAGAAGAAGGAGGAGAAAGAAAAGGCGAAAGCGAAGAGCCAATGAGCCGAGCGAGACCGAGACTAACACGTGCGGTTCTCAGACTGTTGATCTAACGAAAGTTCACCAAACTCACGAAGTTTGTCCATACATGTACAAATGTATTTCTGTGTTTTGAGACGGTCGACATTTTCGAGCTAACACCAAAAAAAAGAAAAAAAGAAAACGCTAAACAGATACGACGAATTTCCCTCGACGAGGTGTTCCAGGATAGTAACGAAACTCGGGCGAGTACTTTGCATTAGATAAAGGGTATCGATTACGCGTAGTTCCTTGTTACCTGTAATTAGGAACGATCGACTGCCACCTGCAACTTTTATGTAATGCACACCTCCCACAGTCTAGACGGTTCGAACACTGCAAACATGTTTTTTCTAAAGAAATTGAGCTTTCATAAGTAACGTGACGCTGCGTTGTTAATAAAAATGTAAAGAAACGGAAACCGAGAGCAATACCGATCATTCGAGCACACGACTTTATTTATTCTTCGTCAATACTCTGCGGGGGGCCACGGTGAACGGCTCGCATTTGTGTCATACGAAGCTTCAGACGGCGTAGCGTCGGGTCTCGAGCCTCGAGCCTTTCTCGATCCGTTCGAGCTTCGTCTGTCTGCAAAATCTCGATCCGGAAATCCTCGAAGTCCCGACGCTACACGCAAAGCGTACGCCCGGGGAGGATCGAAACTGTGTACCGTAAAACAGCATTTTCGTCATGCTTGTACCTGTACGATACATAATTTGAGATACACGCTGTTTTTCATTAATAGGCTTATCTCCTTACTTTATCCTTCGAACAACCATACTCTGTGCATGAAAAGAGAACGCGCTAGATATTCTCCGCGACGAAACAAACTTTCTTCTTCTCTCTACATCAAGGTGTACAGAACCAGGCACATCTGACTCAACAAAGTCCACCGACACGTCCTCCCGCTTCCACTGTACGCGATGCCCACGTAGGGCTCCAGATTAGTGTCGTTGTAATGCTGGAAGTACCAGTTGAACGAACTGTCCTCGATCACTTCGGCATTTTCATTCGAGGCCTCGTCCTTCTCGACGATCTCCTCCGCGGTCCCAACGTTCCTCTGAACAGCCTCGGCCACCGATTTNTCGTCCTTCTCGACGATCTCCTCCGCGGTCCCAACGTTCCTCTGAACAGCCTCGGCCACCGATTTCTGCCTCTCCGGCTCGGACATGAGCCCTAAACGCGGCGAAGGGACCTTCGTTATGGTTGGTCGACCTAGGGGACGCAAGTTCGCCGGCGAACCAGAAGAAGGCACCTGGCCCCCTGGAACCAGAAAAGCTGAAAGAGCCGAAGCTTCCGTTTCCCTGGAAAACTGCGACGCTGACACGTTCTTCCGGTTCTCTGACGTTGGAACTGTACCCTCGGTTGCCATAACACTCGAGACATCTAGAATCAATCGTAACTGTTGAGTACTTAATATATTATATATATATATATATTAAAATTATTATATATAATATATATATATATATATATATATATATATTATATATATAATTAATATTATTATATGTTATATATTATATTAATATTAAAATGTAACTCGTGTGTTCACCTTCGTTTCGAACAGTCGTCGTCGGCGTGGACGTCTCCTGGAACTCGACTTCCGGTTCCCAGAAGACGTTCTTCTCTCCCTTAACGGTCTCCGTTGACGTTCCTTTTACTTCTTTCGTCGCTTCTGTTGTTTTCGGTGTTGTCCAGACGACCCTATTCGCAAGCTCAGCTTCAGGCTTCTCCTCGAATCTGCTGGGCTTCTGGTTCACCTCCGGGCCATCTTGGATCTCAACAGCCGCAGAAGTCTCGTTTGCTTCTTGGGGCGACTCGTCCGCCGCTACACTCGAATCCGACGTTCTCGTCGCGTTCGTATGACTGGAACTAACGTAATCGCAATTTGATTAACACCTCGCCGTGTAAAACGGAGTCAGACCGTGACGAAGATTGCTAATATAACCTAAGAGAATGATTATTCAAGTCGAAATCAATAGAAATCTCCATAAGTAGTTCACGAGGCATGGTTTAATAGCTTCAAGGGGAAACTAATTGTCGGCTCTACCAACATTTCCGATTGTTTACCTGTTCCTTAGATCGTGCTGTTGCTTATAGTCCGCCTCGCTCGTCGCCACAGTGGACAGTTCCTCCCTCTCCTTGAACCCCAATTTAGGCCTGCTCGCCCTCAGCTGGGTCCTGTCGATCTTCACCACCGTCCCGTTTCCGCTTTTCCATCGTCTCTTCTCCTCCGGCACAACGCTAGAATTCTGCGACCCCGAGGTCTCATTCTTCGCCTGTTTCTGGTACGTTATCCTAGGGTCTGCGATAGGCACGAAGCCACCCTGTCCACGAGGCAGAGGCACGAATCCACCCCTGTGGATTTCCGGTTCCGTCGGCGGGAAAGTCCTGTAGCGACCTCTTCCAGGTCTTCCGGATGAATTCTTCCGCTCCGATTTCCTGCCCGAGTTCCCCCAGAGGTTGAAGTTCAGACTGGGCAAGGGCACCCCGAAGAAGGTGAAGCCGGAGCTGCTTGGCGACGGTGGCATCAAGGTGTTCTTCTTCACGGGGACAGTGCTGTTCGACTGCGGTTGAACCTTCTCCGACGATTGAACGACTTTCGTCGCGTCTGTTTGCGCAGTCGGCGAGGACTGATTTGTCGCGTTCGTGGTTTCGTTCCTGGTCTCTTGATAGTCGGCGTATTCGTAAAGGTAGTCGGAGTCCTGCGACGGAGGTCGCGTCGACGAGTCTTTTATGTTCATACGGAGCGGTACCACTTCCGTTGCACCGTACACTGTTGGCGAGGAAGAGTATGGAAGAACAATGTAAGAAATCTTGCGTCGTTCTTAAAAGAAACCAACGAAACCGTCGGACTCACGCGAGGAGGACACGGGGTACGGTGCCAAATCGATCATTTCAGCCTCGCAGCCAGGGTGAATTGGATCGATGTGTCTCTCCCTTTGGCAGTCCTGGCGAGACAGCCTGATTTCTTTGAACAGCGACCCATCGGCACACCTTGGACCCTCCGAAGACGCCTGTTGCAGCCACCCTCTTAGCCACAGCATCCCGCACGAGCAGGAAAGCGGATTGCCTTGTCAGAAATTGCGATAGTCTAAGCATCGTCGTTCGAGCAGCGCTCGTCATTCGAAGACGATTCAATCTATTAACCCGAGAAGCTAAGTAGCCGTTTTTCCGTTCGTATGGAAATGCGCGAGCGAAAGTTTCTCGAGCCGTAAACTAATCCGGCGAACGTGGCTAATTACCATCGATGTCCAGAACAGCGATGTTCGATCGCAATCGTTTGAACGCCGCTTCGGAAACGGAAGCCATCCGGTTGCTCCTCAGGCTGAGCACCCGGAGCCGCGGCATTTCGTCGAAAGGCGAGCCTTGGATGGCGCAAATCCGATTGTTATCCATCTGCGGGCAAAGTGGAAAACGTGTGTTAAACGATCCGCTATCTCCTTAATTAACGATTCAGCCCGTACGAATAATTGCTCCGCTAGCATAACGAACGTGGCCTCGCGCACCACGGTTCGTGGAGAAGTTTCACTCTCGACGAGAAAGTATTCTGCCCGTTATTACTAAAGACGATCCCCACCAAGCATTTTTCTTTCGTTCCACGGCGCCGCTGAAACGCGATCGTTACGAAAAAGAAAAAAAAAGAGAGAACCCGCGGCGCGTCGGAAAGCAACGAACCGATTTCGCGGGCGGATGTTTCGACGACGACGTCGACGGCCACTCACTTTCAACTCGACCAGCCATTCCATCGATGCCAGACTCGTGCTGGACACCCTGGACAATCGGTTGTTGCTCAAGTCCAGGACCTCCAGCGACCGGAGGCTCTCCAGACCGACGTAATCCAGCGCCGGCAAATGATTGTAGCTCAGATTAAGAAAGAGAAGGTGAGGCACGTTAATGAACGCGTTGCTCGCGATTTCCTGGATCCGATTCTCCTGCAGTTCCGCGCTTTGCAGCAAAGGGAGCTCGGTGAAAGCTCCGCTCGGGATTATCTGATGGAAGATCGATCGATTAATCTCCGCTGTTCCGACCACGAACGCGATCTGAACCGTCGTTTTCACCTGCAATCGATTCTTCCCGAGCCTTATCGCCTGCAGCTCCGGCAGAGATCTGATCGCGTTCCTCTCGATGATCCTCAGATCGTTGCTCTCCAGATCGATCAAGGACAGTCGCGGCAGCCCGTCGAAAGCGCCCTCGCGAAGCTCGCGGATCCGATTCCGGACGAGCTTCAGCTCGAGCAAGGCCGACAGGCTGCTCAGAGTTTCCGGCGACAGGATGTTCAGCTTGTTGAAGCTCAAGTCGAGAACCTGGAGCGCTGTTAAGCCGTGCAACGATCCGGGTAACTCGGTCAAAGTGTTGTGCGACGCGTACAGTTCACGAAGGTCTCTGCAATTAACGCCGTTTCCTCCCTTTGACGTCCGATCGTTAATAGAAACGGCTGTTTCCGCCGCGGCCACGTCGGACCACCGACACCTTTCTATCGGGAGCTACCTTCGCGCAGGATCTCGGCTCGTCTTCGAGAGAAAATTTCGCCTGACCGCTGAATAAATCTGTTTCGACCATTTCGCCTGATCGGCTCTAATTAAATATTCGACGCTCTCAATCGATTCTTGGATCTACGATTTCTACCATTATTTTCCTACCTAACTTATAAGGAACACTAGGCAAGCGTCTCTCTCAAATTTTTGTCCGTTTTCGCATATGTTCTACTACTCGAAAAACTAAGCGATGCGTGTTTTTTTTCTAGCGGCGGTAATTAGCTTCAACAGGGTGAAACCGACCCCCAATAGTTTACCGCGTGACGAGAATATTTCGAATTTCTCGTGGATACAACAAGGAGGACATTATATGCCGTGTTAATGCGGCATAAAGCCCGAGAAAATGGCGACACGCCAGGCCGATGGCACTCCACGTCTAAAAGGGGACACTTAAACACGAGCACCGACTTTCTAGGTACCAATTTGCCGGTGACGCAACCGAATGGCCACGAGTGAAACCGCTTTTCTGTGGGCGCGTTAACGCGTGGAAAAGTGCAGCACCGCGATCGCCGAGCTCTCTTACCTGGTGTTGGAGAAGGTGGCATGAGGGATTTGCGCCAGATTATTCCTGCTCAAATCGAGCCGCTGCAGTCGGACATTCTCCTGGAAGATGTCCGGCCTGAGGACCTCCAGCCGGTTGCCCTTCAAGCTGAGATCCATCAACGATCTGAGAGGCCTGAAGCTTCTGCCATGGAGGGTGACCAAGCGATTGTACTTCAGGTCCAACTGTTCGAGCCTGGACAAACCGTCGAAGGTGCCGTCCTCGATGATCCTCAGAGCATTGTAGCCTAGATTCAGCTTCCTCATGTTCGGCAGATCGGTCAGAGTGCCGGGCGAGATCCGTTCGATCCCGTTCGCGCTGAGATCGAAGGACCTCAGCACCGGAAGGGCTAGATCCTGCGACGAGACGGCAGGCAGGACGACGATACGGTTCATGGGCATGTACAGATGTTCTATGTTCCCGGGCAGGCCTGGGACGATCTCGAGCATCCGATTCCAGCCGACGTCCAGCTCGTAGAGGTTGCTCAAATGGTGGAAGGTCAGAGGATGGAGGACAGAGAGCGCGTTCCCGGAGATGTTGATGTGCTCCAACGCCGGCGTGCCTAGGAAGGATTCCGGCTCGATCATCCCGATGGCGTTCCCGCTCATGTCCAACCGCCTCAGGCTCGGCAGATTGGTCAGCAGTCGGGGCTCGATGTGTCGGAAGTAGTTCCCGGAGAGATCCAGACCTTTCAGCGCCGGCAGGTTCCAAAATGGCGTCTCGAGCTGGTTCGACAAAGAGTTGTTCTTTAAACGCAGTTCCCTAAGAGCGGGCATTGCGGTGAAGGTCTCCCTTTGCAGAAAGGCCACTCGGTTGTGATCAAGGTGAAGCCTCTCCAGCGTCGGATGGCCTCTCAGCGCTCCGAACGGGATCTCCTCGATCTGGTTGTGGCTGACGTCGAGGAGCTTCAGCCTAGGCAGCGCCTCCATGATGGACCTCAGCTCGGACACGTGGCTGAGGTCGTTGTCGATCAGCCAGAACTCCTCCAAGCTGCTGCTAGGTCTGCGCGGGAAAAATTCCGGATGTATGCGGTGTATTAGATTGTGATTAAGATCCACGGTCTTCAACGCCGGCATTCTTTGGAACGCTCCAGCGAACACCTCGGTGATATGATTCCTCGATAAGGAGAGGCGGGAGAGGACGGCCAGGTCGGTGAAGGCCCCCTCGTCCAGCCGATTGATGCGATTCCGGTCGAGTCGGATCACCGACAGCGAGGGTAGATCCACGCTGGCACGGCCGATCATCCCGGCATCGACGATCGAGTTCCCCACCAACGAAAGTTCCTTCAGCTCCGGCAGATCGATCATCGTCCGCGGATGAACCCAGTGGACCCCGCAATCGGTGATGTTCACCAGCTCGAGCCGCGGCAGGCCTCGGAACAGACCCGCTTCCAAGCGTATCAGCCGCGAGCTGCCGAACACGTGAAGCTGCTCCAGGCTGGGCAGGTCTCGGAAGTTCCTCGGAGCCAGCTCCAGCAGAGCCGGCGAGTTGATCTGAAGGTATCTGAGCTTCGGCAGGCCGGAGAACTTCGGCAGCTTCTTCATCACCCGACTCTGCAAGGTCACCGCCTCCAGACCTTGCAGATTCTCGAGGCTGTCCACCGGCAGGGATCGCAGGTCCGGCTCCACGACGAACAATTCCAACAAAGAATCGTGCAAACCCTCCAGCCAGCCCGAAGACACTCTCTCCAGGCGATTGTTCCGCAACATCAGCCGGAGAACGCGCAAAGTGGCGAACACTTTGCCCGGTAGACTAGGTAGATTGTTGTTCTCCAGGATCAGCTCGTCCACCGGCCGGTCCAGGTAGTGGCTCACCGCTTTCAGGCCCTCGAGAACCTTTGGTAACTCGCTGTGACTGCACCTAGTGGTAGAAGCTGGATGAGCGAGGCTGCTAAGAGGGGAGCAAGATCGTCGAGCAGGTTTGCACTTGCCAGATCTGGATCTCCATGTCGCGAGTGGAGCATCTACAAGGTAGGATCCTCTCCTGAGTAGGACACCCGTACTCGGCGCTCAGCTGGCCGCTGACACTGGCCCAACACAGTGCCAGAAACCAGCCGGCTGCAAAGAGGCCTCCACCTTCCGGTGGTTTAACCATCGCGCATTTGGACCTTGGTCTACGACCTTGGATGCCGGCCCCGCATTTTCTGGAAATAGGCCCAGGCTGGAACGTTATCTTGATCATTCAGACTCACGGCTTTTAGAGATGAGAATCTGACGACTAGACTGCGGATCTTTGTGCAAAATAAAATTGTTCCAAGACGATTGTATGAAACAGAAATTGGAAACAAATAAATTATTTCTTTTAATAATTTTGTTAACTTGAAAACTGTTTGACAATATCATTCGATTGTTCTCGTGGCTTTATGATTTCATATTTCAGCTACTCATTTTTGGCATAAATGCATAAAATCCGCAGTCTACTAATGACGATTCTATTCGTTTCTCGTTGATCTAATTTTATAGACCGACTGTCGCCACTTTTTCGTTGTCTATCATCATTGTTAATGTATTTTATTAAACACTCTGTTAAAGATTCAATCAATCCGTCGAACAAAAGTTGCGAACGATTATGCTTTCGTATGTCAACGTGCAATACAATTAATTCGACCATTTTCGCGTAATGTACTAGATCGTGAACGTGTCGCATACGTGTGACGCTGGTAGAACATTATTTTTAGCCGATGAAAGTTAGAGAAATCCCCATGTGGCCCCATCCGAATCTTTTCACTTTGGTTATAGAAAGCTCCGTCGATTTGAACGTTTTAACATCGCAGGCTCGAAGCAGACTATCCGAATAAAAGTTTGCACAGATTTCAGGCGGATTCAAGTGTCACGTTTCACGGTCTGAAAGCACCGGAAGGAAGAAGAGTGTCCCCCGAGTGTTGATCGCCTAAGGAAATTAACGACGAGGAGTAGTCCTCTTCCCTTTTTGAAAAGGGAAAAGTATCCCGATCCGCACGAAAGTAGGCGGTCCGAGCATCGGGCGTTAAAGTGGCCCTGGATGTCACGGTGGTTTCCGTGCGTAAATCGGCGAACGCACGTGTGTAGACTAGTTGCTTACACGTCACGGTACTAGACGACAAAATTAATGCTTCGTACCGTAAGCAAAGCTAAACACCGCTAGGACAATCCTTCCCCGTAACGACCGCTGTCGTCTGGAACCCGTCGCGATGCGAATCGCGCTGACGAAACCAGCGGGGGGATTTTGAAACCGCGCTACGATCGTGTCACGATCCGAAAATCGAATTCGAAAGGATCCGCGGAGGCTCGAAAGGGATCGACGCGGAAGAGAAAAATCCCTTGGCCGTTATCAGATGGCAGGAGAACAAAGGTGTTCCTCTGCGGCTGCTGTCACGGGTGACCACGTGTGTTTCATAACGCGTCTTCCGTAAGTACGAACAATTGGTCGGCCTGGAAAGCCAGCCGAACATGAAGAATGCCGATACCAGGTGACCATTAACGAAAGGAAGATTCAAAATCAAATCTGACGCGGATGTATGTGTGAGTGCGCGCGCGTTCGAAACGCGACCGTAAATTTAAGGGAGCGCGTCAGACGTGCGAATGCAGGTCGCCGCACTCACGTGACTGCATTAGCATGCTGCTGAAACCAGTTCGATTGTTACAAAATCGTTTCTCGTTCGTTCCATCGACCATTAAAGTAACCCCGATCGCGTTCAATCGCGTTCGCCTCTCTCGATCGCGTGATTCCGGCCGATTCTGCGATCCATTGACGCAATCGATGCGACGCTAATTCGCGGCTCACAATGCGAACAAATGACACAGGTGCAGCAACGATCTCCGTCGTCGTTGCGGTATCGAGCTTGCCGCGATCGAACCGGCGATCGCGTATGATTCCAGTGAAAGTGACATATACTTCCTTGGTTGTCCTGCGCGGCTATCGTTCCGAACCCCGCAGCAATTACGCAACTTGGAAAAGAAGTCGGGTACCTTTCAAAGGAACTGCACCGATAGCGCAACATACTGTTTAGTTTAATTAGCGAGCTGACACGGCGTCCGCTCGCAATTCGACTAACTAGAATTTTCAGAACGAGCTTATGAATCTAGTACTTCCAACAGCATAAATACAATTGCTAGATATTAACAGAGATTGCTAGATTTTTTAGGATACGAGACTACGATAGGAGGTCCAGAAAAAATATTCTCCCCACGTTTTGGAAAGCTCTTCGTCTAGAGTCAATCTCTGTACCCTAAATTTGGTACCCTGCCCAGCAAATCGAGGGTGAACACTGAAATTTTTAGGACTCACAAGATCGCCAACCCCCGAGATCCTCGAAGCCCCTCCTACTTTCGAGTTCGCGTTACTCGTCGAACCCTCGTGTTATCCTCCGGTTGGAAACGATCGCTGAAGATCCGATATCCTGCAAGGGGAAGATATCACTGCAGCCACTGTTCGTTCACAAACGAAGAAGCGGCGCGATTCGCGCACAGAGCACAAGAGCCTCGGCGCTCTCGTTACGGACAGGCACGGACTAACTACACGAAGAACTTTTGTGCAAAGCGTGCTGATGCACAAAGTCGAGGGGAGAAGATGACTGTGGCGTGGGCGATGGCGAGCGGGACGAAAAGAGAATTGCGAAGTGCTGTGTCCAGCCACCGTGAAGGCACGCTTCCAGGAAATTCTTCCCTTTCCACCGAATCTTCGCGTCCGAATCATTTGGCGACAGTGACAAGTTTCGAATTTACGGTTTCTTCATGCCCGGGACTTCCTGGTCCGAAGGTTGCCGAAAAACGTTGCGATCGACAACCGCTAGAACCGCGCGGCACGCTTTGTCAACGTTGGCGACAGAGCACGACGCGTCTCGGAAGGCCTTGTCACACGATTTTTCGTGAAATTTCTCGTTATCGTACGCGAACTGCTGCCTGCAGGATCGTTCGATGGTTCCTTCGACCCGAGGACAACGACGATTCCCATGATTTTCTGACGAACGTGCAGTTAAATAGGTTCCAGTCCAGATGACACGAGTTCCGTCTTTCTTTATCCGCCTCTTACGAGATACAGAAAATATACGGTAACAGACAACGGGACCGACAATAGATCTCGCTACGATCTCAACAAGCTTAATTAGAGTACAACAAACAAGAAAAATTAATCACGGGGCAGGGCGGGCGACACGCGTTGGGAAGTTCCACCGGCGTTTTCTGGACGGAACGATTCCGACGAATTTTACGTGGCACTTTCATCCTTCATTCGGAATTTAAATATGCGTGTATTGCAGAATCAAAACATAGCGATCAGCGATAACCGGTTCCGAACGATCGAGACCGTCTGGTGGATTGTGCTAAATTTCCGAAATTTCCGAAACCGAATTACATATACCGTTTACTTCGAAAAATAAAATACGTAGAAAAACAACTGTTTATCTCTCGTTCGTGTCTCTTAATTGATTATCATTTCGCCGTTGACTATTAATTCGATCAATTACCTTAACGCCGCAACAATTATACCGTTCGCATATTTATGCGACAGACTTGCGAGGTATTTCTTCGGTAGATTCATCATTGCGCCAAAGGTCCAGCGCGGATCGACTCACAGACGCACACACACGCGTCAACGAAAGAAATCGGTGTTCTAACTGGTTTTCATGATCAACCAAGCTATAATATCATAAAATCAGGTGTGTCTAGGCCAGTTGTTTATCGACACCGCGGCTGGAAAAGGCAGATCGATCTCGCAACATCGTGGTGGCATAAACGACAACGACAGTTCCACGTTATAATGTACTGCAACAACAATTTATTGCGTGTCTCCCGGCGACTGTCGAGAAGCGTTTTCAGGGATTTCCATATCGGTAACGGTCCGGCTTCCCAAGGTGTTAAAGAAAGCAGGAACAACGGGTCGAACGTGCTCAAGAAACCGCCGAGGATATTGATCACTGGTACGTACGGACTAAAGGCGAAACAATTATAATCATCGTTGCGAAACCGGTCACGGTCGCTACTGTCCGGTGCCGTCTCTCGAAGAAGCTAACAGTGTTATTAGAATGCATTGTTTTAAGGGACTCATTTACCTAGCAAATTACCAATGATAATCGAACGGTTGCAGGCGGTCTCGGCCAGTTGGGCACCGAGTGCGCGAAGCTGTTGCGAAAGAATTATGGCAACGAGAACGTGATCCTCACCGACATCATCAAGCCGACGGAGGACAGCCTGTCCTGCGGACCTTTCATCTTCGCAGACATCCTCGACTTCAAGGGCCTGCAGAAGATCGTGGTGGACTACAGGATCGACTGGCTGATACATTTCAGCGCTCTGTTGAGCGCCGTCGGCGAACAGAACGTCCCCCTCGCAGTCAGAGTCAACATAGAAGGTAAAACGACGACTTCGAACGTTTCTAGAAGCGGCCGCATCCCTGCCGAACGTATTGCGCTCGAGTGAAATGGAATGCCGTGACCAGCGAATATCGTCGTTACGATAATAATTATATTGTTACCGCGGCGCAGAAGAAAGTGGCCCCCGAGGGAAAGTGGATTTTTCCCTCGGCCGTTCTTGAAGAAATCGTCGGGCTAATTCGGTCGTCGCTGATGAGCCAATTTTCTGTTAGGTATGCACAACGTGATCGAGCTGGCGAAACAGTACAAGCTGAGGATATTCATCCCGTCGACGATCGGCGCTTTCGGCCCCGATTCGCCGAGGAATCCCACCCCCAATATCACCGTGCAACGACCAAGGACGATTTACGGCGTCAGCAAGGTCCACGCGGAGCTTCTGGGGGAATACTATCATCATAAGTTCGGCCTCGACTTCCGGTGTCTTCGGTTCCCCGGGGTCATCAGCAGCGACCCCCCCGGTGGCGGAACCACAGGTATCCGTTAACATTTATTTTTCGATTCGTCGAGGTTTGACAATTTGATATCAGAACATTTTCTATTTTACTGTCTGATGAAAAATCAATAGAAAATGGAGATGCTAGAGACAACGCTATTGCGAGGAACCGGAGGGCTGCTTTTACAGAATTTATCCGGTCCGAGAACACAAGCTTTTCTGTCACAAGATTATGCGGATACTCGTTTCTCAATGGACGGAATACCCTAATCGTAATATAATGAAGTACTTCGTGTTTTATATTCCTATCTGTCGGTCCACGTTTCTCGGCAAAGGTACCCCGGGGTACGAAGTAGAGCACGTTCCAAGCGCGATTAGGGTAACTGCGTAATAGCGCAATCCATCGCTCCTCAAGGACAATAGTATTAGTAAATTGTTGAGTGTCTCTTGATCACAAGCCGTGAGATCGTTCCTTGCGTTTCCCTTATCTCCTGATGCGTAAATCCGAGGGTAACCGCACGGGATTGTGAGTGGAACCATAACGCAAAGGCTATTTCCTATGCGAGCATTTGTTTTCTTCCTCAGACTACGCTGTCGCCGTCTTCCACGAGGGGTTGAGCACCAAAACGTACGAGTGCTATTTGGAGCCGTACACGAGGTTGCCGATGATGTACATAGAGGATTGTCTATCCGCGCTCTACCAATTCTTGAACACGCCGAACGATCGGCTGAACAGGCGAGTATACAACGTCACTGCGATGAGCTTCACGCCGGAAGAACTCTTCAGCGAGTTTAAGAAGCATGTTCCTGATCTAAAGATCACGTACAAGCCGGACGGACGGCAATATATAGGTCGGTGATTTGTAATTCGTCTCTGATCGTGGTCTATTTGTTTAAAATCATTTTAATTCTAGCTGACGGTTGGCCGCAAGTGTTCGATGACAGCGACGCGCGACGGGATTGGGGGTGGAAACACAAGTACAATTTGCAGAGACTGGTGGAGTCAATGATACGCGACGTGAGATCGAACTTCTTGTCGAAGAGATCGTTGAAAGAGGTCAATAGCTACGTATAACGGAGGATAATTGAGAAAATTATATTTCTGAGATTCCGATGAAATTATAAAAATATTTATTTTACAATAAAGGCAATTCTTAACGCATGTTCGGTCGCGTTCACATGTCCTCGCTCATCAGCTGGGCAATGATTTCATCATTTTGGAGGGAAGAAGTGTCCAGTCTCTTCGGGGTTGCTTTGGGCGCCCTCGATGGAGTGGTGCTTATTTTTTCCACTTTCCTTACCGGTGTCATTGTTTTGTCCATGACTCGTGACGGTGTGCTGATCGACGTATCCATAGTTCTTGAAGGGGTGCCAAAATTCCTGTCTCTTCTGATCGGAGTGTTGCTCAATCTCTCGCTGTATCTTCCGGTTTGCGAAAATTTCTCTTGCGTATCGGGTTCTGTAAAAAAAGAAAAACGTTAGTTGAAACCGTCGAGGTTCATCCTCGGTAACCTGAAACATTTACCTGTGACTTCTTCTTTGGCTAATATAGCTCGACTTTCTATAAAGTATCCATTAGGATGAACAATAGACTTGTCCGGCAATCGATTGTGCAGAATCTCGAAATACTTGGTGCAAGCAATAAGGTAATGACCATTTTTGGCCAGATCTGCGATTTCATTGGCGCTTATCACTGGTATACCGATACCAGACAATTTCTGTCTCAATATTTCGTTATCCATATGTTTGTATGGACAGCCATGGTACTCCCCTGGACCCACTGCGGACGTGATAATTTTTGTGCAGCCCATAGGGGTGTAATTCGTTTGTTTACCCTCTTTGCCGAACGTGTGCCTTATGGTGTAGGCGTACTGTTTATCGAATTTGTCTGAATCGATTTTTTTCGTGAACTCTGTTTTCCAAAAATGCAACGCATCTTCCATTGTCACCCCGATACCCTTAAGAAACAGACCGTACTGAATACGCCCGCTATTTCGGAGATGGTGCTGAGCCCTAAGACCTTCATGGAGCAACCTCATGCACAGAGGATAAGATGTTTTCGACAACTAAAAATGATTGTCAATTAGACCGATGGCGCAACCTTGCGAAGTAGGTCAATTACCTCGTTCAGCTTCTCTACAGGTGTAGCAGTCGTCGTCCAGACCACGCGGGTCATACCAGAGAAAGAACCAGGCAAGGATTTGAGGAAAGACATCAATCTTTCGTCGTCAGATATTTTTGAGACGTAATACTTTGCGTACTAAATGGTACAAATACATTCGATTGTGGTAACCGAGTTACTGCTAGCTATGTAATATAATTAATAGCTCACTTACCTTAATGCCATCAATTAAGATGTTCCTCAAATAAGAAACAAACAGAGACACTAAGCTTGCCTGGGGTATGTATGCCATTCCATTTGTCAGGTATACTTTGCGTGACTTGACTAGGTCAGTCACCCTCAGGAAAGGTACTTTGTAAAACTCTGATATATCGACATTAGAAACTTTTGCAGTGGATGAACGAAGTTCTTCCCTAATTGCATCTTTTTCCTCTCTAGTGATCTGTGCAATGAATAATAATATAATTACCATGATTAGACATTTGATTACATTATTTTCTTTCATCCCTTACTTGCTGACATTCGATATTATGCATGCCAAGGAGCTTTTCTATTCCCTCAGCATCTAATGAACTAAATCTTAGTTTAAATAACTCTAGTTCTAGACTAATGAACCATGCCTGGCGATCTGGATCTTGGCTACATGACAGTCTCATTATAAAGTGGGACAAGTGATCCTTCCTTCTACATTGCAAATCTGCTTCTGATGGTGCGCTGGACCCAGTTGCATGAAGAAGGTGCACAAAATATTTGAGCCCATCTTTTCCTAAAGATGTGCTCAGATTTTTCTTGCGCTCTTCCACTTGCTTCGCGTCTGTTCGTAGAGCATTACTTTCCACATGTTGCAATACTAGAAATTGCATATTCTCTCTCTGAATAAGTCTCCTTAGTATCAACTAATTTCAGACCTTAATTTCTAATTACCGAGAAACTTACGTTTTACTCTGTCCATACCCAACTGTTGAAAATCCACGAACGGAATTTCGCCGGATGGAGGAAAATCGTACATTTGTAGATCATGTTGGTAAATATCTTTAAGATCGTCCGTCCCAGTATTAACTGTATACCGTCGTCGCTTAGTGTATTCCATTTTCTGAACGAATGATAAGTATTAAAAAACCTTACCTTGTTATGCTCTTACGTTCTTTCAGACATGTCGATTTTTCGGCATTATTATTAATAAAAACTAACGATATAATTAGAAGTGTTAATTGGCAAACCATGCAGAAAACTATACCAGCTATTTCATTTATTCGAAACGATTATTCTTTATAGTTCTTAAAAATTCACGTACTCGATGTCACACACAATTTTCTACTTGTGAACTGCAGCGTCAGTTTAGTAGATGTAAACCTCCAAAACTAACTCCAGTCTATGTGTGGTTTGTCATAGTATGCGGCGCGTTTTCTCCCTTAAGCAGCCATTACAACTTTCCCTAATGTTTGGCGTCTTTTTTTCCCCGCGAATATTTGAAATCGTTTAACGGAGGGAAGCGCAGAAGAACAGCTGCGCAGCAAAGGAAAAAGGGTGCGAAATACAATCACGTGTGAACCTTTATTACAAGTTATTGTCAGTTCATTGTCAATTTCATACAGTACAAGTGATCAGACGAAGGACAATGCAAATACTATTTTTGGTAGTTTTGTATTACACGAACGTCCTCCAATCGCATCGGCGCTAAATGACCATCTTTATTGTCAAAATTCTGAACGAATAATTTCCTTATCTCACAATTATAAAACTCTACTCTGTTCTTTATAGGCGATATTCCTTGAAACTGTTCGATGGTGATATTTTCCCTGTTGATAATTTGTTCCTCAAATAAATTCGCCTGTTTCGGATACATCGAATCCCCTGGAAGGACATACACGCTTCCATTTCGCAGAAGAATCTTCACCTAATTGTATAAATTCGATTAAAATCGTTGTAATCCATTTGGTAAAGGGTGAACAATTAATTTACTTACTGGCAGAGTTTGTAGCACACCCCTTTTGGTCCGATCGATGGCGAAATCTAATAAATTATCAATACTCTCGAATTTTGCGATCCTGGCTATTTCATACTGTTGCGGAGGTGCTAGAGCGAAACCGGCATTGGCGAATATGAAGTTCGCTGGTAGATCCCACTGTATTCAACAAGAATTAATAACAAATAATTTCGGTATCGTACAATTTCGTATTTCTTACTTTCGAATCTTCGATTTCCGATGCTTCGCAGACCGTTTCTGGTGGCTCCTGCATGCAGGCCATGTAGAAAACAGTGTCGAACCGACTGCTGCGATAACATGTAGGTGTCAACCAATTACTCCATTCGTAAAGCGACCATAAATCAGGATAGCAGCCGAAATTTTGGCACAACGAGTAGAATTCCGTCGCGTCGTTGTGCACTCTCTTCTGCCAGGCTTGCACCTCGTCCTCAGGTACTGAACAAAACGAACGATTGACCTTAGTGTTGTCGCGTTAGTTTCAAATTGAATTTTCGTATCGTTTCGATAATCGAATTACTCTCGACATTCTGCGCCCAATCGGAGTAGGTGCCGCTGTCGTTCGACTTCCTGCAGAGGAGGATGCCGCACTCTTCGAAGGTCTCACGAATAGCACTGATACGAAGTGAAATTTCTCTTGGCAATTCGTTTGGTCGTTGATTAAAGATAATTGGACGTGTTTTAACAGTTGGTACCAAAGTGGCGAAGCTGTTCTTGTCGAAGCCGAACGTGGTGTAAAGATTGTGCCACTTGAGGTCTGCATCCGACGAATGGATCATCCCTCCAGGAAACACATATTTACTCGGCATGAATTTGGAGTTTGCTTGGCGTTTAAGGCAGAGCAGATCGTAATTATACTGGAACTGAGAATTATTACATCAGATGTTCGCAAGACGATTCGAGTTTCCCGCGTTGTTTTATCTAAAGCCAGAAATTTCGTCGTATCGATTGTAAGTATATTTTCCGTTTGATCGTAATGTTCATTTCAGATAAAATATTTTCATAGATCGCAGGAAACTAACGGAGTTTTACAGATTTCACCGTACGTAATTAAAAAGATGAATTCGTACTTTGTTACATACGTTTACTTGAGGCCGAGAACGAACGCATCTCCTCATATGACGTGCTGTTAGGATTAAACTTGCAGATTCTTTAAATCCTTTCATTTCGTTTATTTTCAAAGGCACACACGATTTGGCGGTATTATGAATCTATATAATCGAAATTCAAAACATAGCAATTAAGGTTACGTAACCTAAATAATTATGTCGGTTACGTTACAACATTAAATTTCTCGAATGACGTTGTGAGATAAAAAGCGAGTATCGATTCTTCGAGTTAAGTTTTTCGAGATTCCATCTTTAAGTTAAAAACTTCTACCAGATAATTTACCAACGCTTTATCGGATTTTGTATACAATGTTTTCACAACAATACTTATTACAGAATGCTATATTTTCTGATGAATTAAGTACATATAATTCATTGATGAGTATGTACAATTTTAGGTAATATTACATTTCTGTAGCATGCTTGGTGGCAAAATAACATCTATGTACATGAGAATTATAATTATCATATTCACAACCTACAATGTGAAACAGCACATGTTCACAAAATGAGCAATGTGCAAAAGTGATTACACACCATTTAGAATACAATAACTTTCTTATTTGCGCTCCTTTTTGTAAATATTTGTTACTCACTGTCTAGTAAACAAATCAGTCTGGAATCTACAAACAATTAAAATCATTTGATTCAATTACTCACTTTTGCACATCACTGTATGTTACAATAGACTATAGCGTATAACAATTTAGGAACTGTACAGAGCAGCACTATTAAATATCTGTATGAAATTAGAAGCCTATCAGTCTTTTTTATTTTTGCTGTCTTTACCAGTTGCTGTAATCATTAGTTCATAGAGTTGACACATTTGTTCATCCCTAAATTTTTCAAGATCCTTTTTATCCAAATCTTGACCTAATGGTTTGGCTGTATGTGGTCCCTTTAGTCCAAGCTGATTAGCAAGCATGAGAGCGTACTCCTATAATAAATAAAAATTATGTCCATCAGATTAATTAAAAAGAGTAATATCCAATTTTTAAAAAAATTATTTCTGCTGAATGGAACCTAACCTATCTTCCCTCCACGAAAGTATGTGAAATATTTAGTCCTACTTACTGTCCATTCATGTAGAAAAATAGCAGCTTCAGCTTCGTTGCATGTTTTATGTCTCTTAAACTCATCTTTGAGATAACTGGTTCCTAAAGATTGAACTTCCTCTGGTAAACCACGGTGTAACCTCAAAATTGTTTTGTACAGCAGTCTAACCCGCTGCACGTGTGATAAACTCGCCATAATTTGGTGTAGTGAGATTCTTTTTACAAATACATGTTACCATAAAATATATACATCTTATAATTTTATAATAAAATAATATATCATCCAACAGAACGTAGCAGACGAAAATTCAACAGAATTCTCGCGCCAAGTGTATACACAGATCCATACAATAAATTACTGATTAGGGAGTAGGGAGGGAGAATATTATTTATAAGCCGCATCTGTAAAGTCCCTTAATTTTTATCTATATGCTAAGAGATAAAAATAATTACGAGCTTCGCTTTTTTTGCTCGTTGTATATTCGTCTTCGGTTAATCCCAGCGATAATTAGCCGGACAAAACACATTGATAGCGCGTTAATTAACTGCAATCGATCCGCCTCCGTTTAACAATCTTTTCCATTTCGTAGTCACAGTACGATAACATGGCCACGTATCGACGTCTCAGGAACGTTATCTCTCAGCATAATTAGGTCCTTAGAAATACGATTAAATACTAAAAACACTTTATACAACTGTGAACTATTAAAACTGTCTAAAAATATTGAATTCGCCTCGTCAAAGATTTAAAAATATAATGCAATCGCAGCCAGCCTCCTCGTTGTGTTAATTGTCCTCAGGACACCTGGCGTCTTGAATGTCCTGCGAATCAAGAGAACAACAAAGTTATAGCTTATTTAGGATACATTTCGGATCATTTAATACAAATATACGAGCTACGAATTTTACCCGATTTCTCTTTTCTCCGTACTTAGACCAGAAAGTGACTTTGCTCTCGGTTTTTTGGCCAGTTTGTTTGTTGAACACCGAACACGAAGAAAACGGCGGCGAGTACAGGTGCAAGGAGATTGCAGGATTCACTGCGCTGGGATTCTCCACGCGATGGAGACCCATAGAGTCTGTAAATTATAATTAATTTATTATGAAACACTTTCCGAAGGGAAAAGCATTTTTAGGAGGTATGTATGTAATTTCAGCGTTGTACCATTGATGTAGCATATCTCGTCGAGGTCAAGGGTAGTTCTGTCCAATTCCTTGAGCTCTTCAGCTTCCGTCGATATGCTTATGGTCCCATTCTTCTTGGGCCATGCGTATCGCGTCTATAAACCAACATTAAATTAAGCAACCTACACGAGTCGCGCTATTAATTGTTAGCGGTTTCGTAAACCCAGATAAGGAGCCTGCCTTGCAGATTAAACTTGTCAACTAGTTGTATGATTATCGAATTAAGCATACCTCGCACAGTTCACCCTGCAGGATCTTCATCACACAATGCGCGTTCGCGTGGTCGTGTATGGCTGATCCATGGCCCTCACCCCAGCATAACACCATAAGATTGAACTTTCCATTTCCCTCGTCGACCAAGTTCCTTGTGTACCTGCGAAAAATGATTCATTCATCGTCTAGCTTAAGAATATCCGTGCCGTTAGATTAAGTGAAATGAGTAATGACGACTTCCGTTCGGTCGTGTGATTGATATACGTAATGAAAGGGCAATTAATTACTCTTAGATAGAATAAACACCGGTGATCTTATCTTCGAGCACCATAGAGTAATGATAGTAATGATCCAAGCAGAAGACGAAGCGATTCTTACGCAGAAAGATAATAAACTAGGGCAACAAAATGGCGATCCAAGCACAGGGAAATTCTCGGAATACTAGAAGAAAATCGCAAGAAAGTTCTATAGCGAGAGGAAACGTTTGTTAATTTAGATTGCGCAGAAGGATAATAAAGTGAGGCAACGACGATTAACTTGTCCTCTGATGCAACGGCTAGCTCGCAGATCGTTTCTTCGAACACCGACGGGAAATCGTGAGGATATAATTGAAAATTCTTGCGTTAATCGCATGGAACGATTTCGATGGATCATTGCTCCCGATCGCACCTATGAGTGTCGCGTGTCGGAGAACCGATGTTTTGGCTCAGGTGTAATGAAAGTAGGAGAGGCAGGTGGTATACGTGGAAAGTGTGCGTAATGCCGGGCCCACACTGCTGTTTGCGAACAGCTCGCGAGCAGGTAGCACGCTCAGGTAGCGGTACATCAAAGGGATTGTTCGCGAGTTCGAAGCATGTCCGGTCGCGTTTGTAACAATTTAACGCATTTGTAGACGACATTAATTCAAAGCAGAACAAGCTTGTAACTGTTCGCGAGCAGTTTGCAAGCTAATCGCGTGCTCCAATGTTAACACGCCGATGCTTTCGGTGGCGATCGACTCGCGAACTTTCTACGAGCAGTTCGCCAGGACTGTTCTGTCCAGTGTGAATCCGGCATAACCAGCCGTTCACCGAGCGAACACCACTGATTTACGTGCGATACACATAGACTTTGAACTGTTCCGCATACTTAGGCTCAGATTGCAATGATGCCGTCCCGATCGTGTTCTTTGATTCTCCGATTCACGAGCGACATGTACAATAAATTCTCCCTAATTTTCTTTCAGCTTGCGAACAAAAATGGACAATTTGGGCAGAGGAGATACGATTATTCGAGCCTTGCACCTCGTTCTTACAATTTCTGACGAGAGTCACAGAGAATGAAAGACTTGTCATCGATACACGTTCCTCGAAATTCTTCGAACTACTTCGAATCTATCAGAGCTTGAAAGCAACCCTTTTTCGGAATTATTCAAGCTCTAACCGCGAACATAGTTGATCTCGGCAGTTACAGCACTATTATCGATACTACCGCGAGTCGCGTGGACTTCGGTCACGTAGCCAATTACGCGCGATAATTTCGTATGACAGCCGTAATATTCGTAATAACGGAGACAATTTCCTTTCTAGATCGGACCGGGAAAGAACCGGTTCGAGATTTCATGGAAAATTCGGACTGTTCCACTCAATGATACTGTGCCCTTCGCCATCGTTCAATTACGTTTGTAGAACGAATGGCTCGAGTTATGGGGTAACGCGAAGCTTATCGACTAGCTCATTATTCACGACACTGATTCTGGAATCCCCAGTGTTATCGTTCGACACTGTCGTACACGTTGCGCGCGTGTCGTACCCTATTTTTTGTAACGGGATTCGCACTCGATAAGCCTGCCGATACACGCGATCCCGTCGATCGGCACGCGATCGCGATCGAGAAAATGCGCGAAGCAGTTTCTAGTCGGCGTATCTCGCGAGGTCGTTCGCATTCCCTCCTGGTCAACAAGGTTGCTAAATTCCTCCGGTGTCGGGCACCGGAACGGTACGAAAATTTACGAGACGCTCGCGAGACGGGGTTGCAGAAACTGTAACGGTTGCGATAACCTATCGTGAACTCCGCGAGCATTAATCTTGTTTCACAATTCCGGCGTAGCTGGACGCGTTTTTGTTTGCCGTTTGATTGAATGTTTTCTTAGAAGTCCGATTCCTCCGATGACAAACAGACTGTGGCAAACACCTAGTTCATCGACTCCTCCAGATACAGCGGATTCAACAGGTTGATCTACCTGCTTGTCTATCGACGATTTCAAAGAGCGCCTATTGGTCAAATGCTTGAATTTGTAGAACTTCAAACTGTTATTTTTCGGTTCTGGATTTGNGCGAGCAGGTAGCACGCTCAGGTAGCGGTACATCAAAGGGATTGTTCGCGAGTTCGAAGCATGTCCGGTCGCGTTTGTAACAATTTAACGCATTTGTAGACGACATTAATTCAAAGCAGAACAAGCTTGTAACTGTTCGCGAGCAGTTTGCAAGCTAATCGCGTGCTCCAATGTTAACACGCCGATGCTTTCGGTGGCGATCGACTCGCGAACTTTCTACGAGCAGTTCGCCAGGACTGTTCTGTCCAGTGTGAATCCGGCATAACCAGCCGTTCACCGAGCGAACACCACTGATTTACGTGCGATACACATAGACTTTGAACTGTTCCGCATACTTAGGCTCAGATTGCAATGATGCCGTCCCGATCGTGTTCTTTGATTCTCCGATTCACGAGCGACATGTACAATAAATTCTCCCTAATTTTCTTTCAGCTTGCGAACAAAAATGGACAATTTGGGCAGAGGAGATACGATTATTCGAGCCTTGCACCTCGTTCTTACAATTTCTGACGAGAGTCACAGAGAATGAAAGACTTGTCATCGATACACGTTCCTCGAAATTCTTCGAACTACTTCGAATCTATCAGAGCTTGAAAGCAACCCTTTTTCGGAATTATTCAAGCTCTAACCGCGAACATAGTTGATCTCGGCAGTTACAGCACTATTATCGATACTACCGCGAGTCGCGTGGACTTCGGTCACGTAGCCAATTACGCGCGATAATTTCGTATGACAGCCGTAATATTCGTAATAACGGAGACAATTTCCTTTCTAGATCGGACCGGGAAAGAACCGGTTCGAGATTTCATGGAAAATTCGGACTGTTCCACTCAATGATACTGTGCCCTTCGCCATCGTTCAATTACGTTTGTAGAACGAATGGCTCGAGTTATGGGGTAACGCGAAGCTTATCGACTAGCTCATTATTCACGACACTGATTCTGGAATCCCCAGTGTTATCGTTCGACACTGTCGTACACGTTGCGCGCGTGTCGTACCCTATTTTTTGTAACGGGATTCGCACTCGATAAGCCTGCCGATACACGCGATCCCGTCGATCGGCACGCGATCGCGATCGAGAAAATGCGCGAAGCAGTTTCTAGTCGGCGTATCTCGCGAGGTCGTTCGCATTCCCTCCTGGTCAACAAGGTTGCTAAATTCCTCCGGTGTCGGGCACCGGAACGGTACGAAAATTTACGAGACGCTCGCGAGACGGGGTTGCAGAAACTGTAACGGTTGCGATAACCTATCGTGAACTCCGCGAGCATTAATCTTGTTTCACAATTCCGGCGTAGCTGGACGCGTTTTTGTTTGCCGTTTGATTGAATGTTTTCTTAGAAGTCCGATTCCTCCGATGACAAACAGACTGTGGCAAACACCTAGTTCATCGACTCCTCCAGATACAGCGGATTCAACAGGTTGATCTACCTGCTTGTCTATCGACGATTTCAAAGAGCGCCTATTGGTCAAATGCTTGAATTTGTAGAACTTCAAACTGTTATTTTTCGGTTCTGGATTTGGGCTATGCGTTGCGGCTGCGCATTTCGGTTCTATCTCGAATTTAAGGCTTTACGTTCACACAATAACATGCAATATACATTTTACTTCGACAACCTCCAAACGTTTGTGTACAAGTTTTAAATTACCTATAAATGTATGTGTGTAGTATGTGTATAGGTACTTATAATATAATAAATTCATTATTACTCTATACAGTAAAATCTCGGTTATCGCTAAAAATATAACGCTAAAGTATATGGTAATATTAACTTATTAACACTAATGTCAAGAATACTTTTTTATTCAAGAAAACGTTCGATCATTTTTCATGTGCTATTATCTCTAATAAAAAGAACAATTCGCAACGAACCAATGCTGTTTTTAACAAACGACATTATTTGGTAGATGTGGTAGACAAAACAGTACAAGTATTTTGATCTTAAATATAGAATCCATATTTTAAATCCCCGAAGGAAATACAATGTATTTGTTACGTGAAATAGAATTAAAACCGAAATTCATAACCGAAACTCAGAACCGAAAAACAACAGTTATAGAACCGATATAATAACGGTTCTAAAGAACCGAAACCGATATAAGCCAGAACAGATATACCTCATAACGGTTATGAGAACATTTCGGTTCTGTTTCAAGAACCGAAACCGAACCGAATCATAATCGTTTTCAACCCCCTGGCGAGAACGTTTCACGACCTTTTCCCGAGATTTCCGCTCCTGTTTACGTGTCGAGAACTTTCTCCGGAGCAATTACTTCGGTAATGACCCACGGCCTCCTCGTCGCGAAGGAATTTTGCTTCGATCCTAATGATCGGATTGCGGATCTTTATGCGAATTCTCATTTTCATAAAAATTCGACTTGAAGAGACGTTTCCTTCGTCGGTTGAGAGATTGCTTATCTTGAAAATAAAGTAAAAATGCTGTTAGACCTTGTTAATTTATACGTTCTCTTACGTTTGAAAAATCTGCGCATGCCATTAAATGCCATAATGATCGTCTGAACAATCTGTTCGTTGAATTCGTAGTGGATAAAATTTGATCCTGCGGTTGGTAAGGGTGTTGGAACTCCGTGCGATGGCCTATAATAGTTATTGAAATGTTCTTCAGATGATTTTTACTCTGGGATAATGGAGCCAGTTACTGTGTTGTGTACAATTGCTGTGCCTCTCGTTCGTTTTCGGGCCTAATTAATTTCATATATTTATCGAATAAGAGATATTCAATTCTTTCATTCTGTTTATTCTGTAATAAAAAGAGTTCAATATACTTTACTCGATAAATATAAAGCGAATTATGTCCGAAAACAGACCAAAGGCACAGCAATTGGTCACCCCACAGTGGCCGCCTCAACCACCCTATTGTATGTCTAATTGTAAATGTCTAATAGTGAGTGTCTAATTGTAAGCCGATCGATGTAAGTGCGCAGTCGATCAATAAGTCCATCCGGCTGCGTTGTCAGCAAGGTCAATGTGTCGTTTTGGACTTATCTCTCGCTGGCAATATTGCACAGATGCTAACGGTTTCTTGTTTGGCCTATAAACTCTAAATACTCGTAAAGCGAAAGTGAAAACCAGATCATAAGCCATATCAACCAAACCATAAATCACTCTCCCCCGATCCCAGAGGAAGGTGGTTGTTTGTCGCAAGCGGAACAAATGCCGGGCCGATTTACCTGTATCTGTCGAACTTGGCGTACTTCTTCCACTCGGCGGGATTGCTCCTGTAGGATGCCATCAGCTCCTGCACGTCGTCGATGTTCACGTGGTCGGTCTCGAAGGCCTCGTGCAGAGCGTCGACGAGCTCGCGCAGCGTCAGGGATTTCTTGGTCTCGTAGCATTTGCTGCCGGGAATGCGGCGCGTCGCAGGATCTTCGGGGCAGACCTGCATCCTTCTGTAGGTGTCGGTCACTGCTCGGTACCGTCCTCCTTCTCGGACGATTCTCGGCCGGCGGACACGCTCGAGCGGGTTTTACGGGAGGACGAACGCCCAATGACGACGGTCGCTGACGAGAAGGTCTCTCTGTTCCGAGAGTTTCGTCCCGTGATCACCGGATGGAACGCAGCTGATCGAAAGCGAAGCGGTTGCCGACGATGGAATAACACGTTGCCGGTCTACGGCTCGTACCGGTCTAACAAAACAGGGGAGACAGCGGCGGCGAGTAGTAAGCCTAAGATACCCCCTACTCTGCGGCTCTTGAGCAGTTTCGTACATTTCGTCCACGAAGAAAATCGAGCAAAACAGTTGCCGATGATTCCCGCTCGTGCTCGCCGCTGCCTCGATTCCTTTTTTCCCTTGTTAATGTCATCGGCGATCGGGGGTTACCTAACTCGCGGCAGTTAAGATACCGTAGGAATCTAGAATTCGTTTCCAAACTGATTCCCCCCTCCCTCCTCCCCACCAATAAACCATGAACGTTCTCAATAACAATAACAACTATTTAAAAGCATGTTTATTAGTATCGCCACAATGAATGTGGACGCGTGGCGGCAACATCGATCCTGTCGCGCGCAACTTCTGACAGATATTGTGAGATTATTTACGAGATTTTGTTTATCTCTTATTTATTGTATTGGTTCTATGAACCTACGAGAATGGGAAACGGTCGCGTTGTATGACGGGCAATACTCGCCAACGGGGCCAAACACGCAATCGTTAGGAACTATTGGTAAGATCGCGATAACGAGCACAAAGCAAACAACGTGTTTGACGTTAGCAATATCGAGCACAGTCTTAGTTGCTTGAATATCGTAGACGAGCTAGCTTATCATTCATAAACCAACAAGGAACAAATCTAGCAACCCTTTGACTATGACGTGCCATAATTTGAGGGGGTCTTCTGATCTAGAGGGCTATTTTGTTTACTTTCTTAGACAATTTGTATTTTTATTAAATCAGTGGATCGTATGGCATTGTAGCCGTCAAAGTCGCTGGAACGAAAGCTGCTGTATGCCCAAAAATATATTTGGAGTGGTCAGGAACGATGCTAACAGCAACCGGTTGACAAAGCAACCGCTCGAGACTCGAACGTATACCTGCCGGTGCGTTATGACGTCAGATAATAATTTCCTTCAAATTACGGTGCACGCATATTTTCGAAAGCATATACTTTAATTAAACGTTTGAGTCCCAAGCATCGTTTGACACCGTTGTGTCGAAATATCCCAGGACATTTGAACGCCATGGACAATTGACGGCGCAGTCATAGACAATGATCTTTATTCAACTGTGCCGAATACGTTCTAGCCGAGATCAGGACAAAACACTTATTTTCTAAACAAGGGCTTCACAAACATCACTCGCGTGGCAATCGTTGTAATAAAATGATTCACATAGAAATTGTAGCTGTGGTGAGAGCAAGAAGCACATTGTTGCTGCAACTTTTGTAGATATTTCAAATAAGTAGTAATTTTTGTCTAACAAAAGAGCTGCGAATCAATTAAAATTCCTTGGCGCATATGTGGGGTAGTAGAGCCGGTTACTGTGGGGGTGACCAATCGCTGTGCCTTCTATTTGTTTTCTGGCGTAATTAACGTTGTATTTATCGAATAAGAGATATTTAACTTTTTCGTTCTTTTCTTTTGTTTACTTCTTACTAAAAAAATTTAATACGTCTCATTCGATACATAAAAAGATAATTATGCCCGAAAACAAACAGAAGGCACAGCGATTGGTCACGTCACAGTAACCGGCTTCACTAACCTACGTTTTCCGTATCTATTAATCGACGTATACAATACGTGCCTCGCAGTTAGAAGGTCAAGCTTCTCTTCCAATTAAAAATGTTGCTAAGTAGCCCGAAGTGGATCACTCCGTCAATGCCAATAGTTCTTGTTTTCTGTTTCGGGAAAGCTGGTCACACGTGTCGCTCACCGGACACAAATCATCTTCTCCTCGTTGTTCTTCGGCTTCGCGGATGTTTTTCCACAAACGGTGATCTCCTTTTCTTTCGCGCGACAAGGTGAATCAGCGCACCTGCACGACCTCGGCTTGCTGCGTTCTCTGGCCGCAATGCAGCTATAGCAAACGCGCGGAAGGAAAAAATCAGCAACTGGAAGTACCAGATCTACGTTCGGTTCACACAACGAGGGAACTCGCCGTCATTAAAACGAACGATTCCTTCCTTTCTCTCTCTCTTATCTCGTATTTCCCTCGCTCTCTCTCTCTCTCTCTCTCTCATTCTCGTTTCGATCGCGACTCCGAGCAACATCGACTTTTACTGGTCGATTTTCGTGAAACTTACACGCAAGGCGAATTCTTGCAGTAGTAGCACTTCATTCTCGGCTTCTTCGACTTGCTCTTCTTGCATCTGCACGGGGACGATTTGCACTGGCAGCACACCACTGTCTTCTTCTGTCTGTCGCCCCTCGATTGAGGATCGCACTTGCAAATCGTTGGCGATTTACTTCGAGGCTTGTCCGGGCAGACGACCGTCTTGCGTCGGGACTTGGGGCTGTGATCGATGTTAGAAATATGGAAAATCTCTCGATTATCTAACAACGCTAACTACGATCCTTCGTTCGCATTCTCAATATTTTAATTTCTTCCGCCAATAATCTCTAAGAATATGTGAAAGTAATGCATCGAGAGTTTGTCATTCGACTGTGTAACAACTAGATCAGGATATAGGATAATTCTAGAAAGTCCGCTATTGATTTCACGTTCGCGAGAGATTTCCAAATAACTCACAAACTCATTCGCCGTATCCCTTTTATGCCATAAGTACATAAAAACCGCGATCTAGACATAATTAACTTGATATTTATCGAATAAGACATATTAAGTCATTTCATTCAATAATAAGAAAAATAAAAGAATACAAAAATTTCATACGTCTTATTCGATAAATATAAGGTTAATTTTGTCCGAATGCAAGCCAAAGACAGAAGAATACTCGCGTAAAATCATATAAAATCGTATAAAACAAGAGAACTTGGTTTTTGTTTTCATCGAATTAGCAAGTTATTTGTCGATCCGGATGAATCAACGGCTCACCTGACACAACACTTGATCCTTCTCTGGTCCCTTCCCTCGTCGACCTTGAGGTTACAGCAACAGGGGACCTTCCGGCACTGGGTGCAGCAGACGGATTCGCTGATCTTGCGCTGCAGCTCGTTCATCACGTCCGAGAAGCAGCTGAGCCTCTGATAAGGCAGATCATCGGAGTTCTGCGGCTTCGGTTTCTCGTGGCAGCAACACTCGTTGATGGAATCGCGTCTGAGATCATCGAGATTCCGTGAGAAGTACCGGCGAACGTCCTCCCGAGGCTTCCAGGCGGTGACGTACATGGTGCGATCGCAGTCAGGTTCCGCGGCGACCGGTCTTCCCTCGTGGTAGGACTTCCGGTTCGGCTCGCAGCAGCACAGATCCACGGCCATCTCGCAGCAGGAGCACTTCCGGATCGGCGAACTACAAGTGCAGCCGTCGCGAGGCCTGTCGCAATAGAGACAGACCATCGACTTCATGCGCCTGCAGCTGCCCCTCTGGGGGCACACGATGTTGCAGATGCACTCGGTTTTTGGCTTGTAGCAGGTCACGCAGGGAGGCACCGGCCTGCAACTGCAACATCGCAATTGCACTTTGTACTAGGAATACGGTAAATTCTCCCAAATCGTTTCTCAACTTGGAAACAAAAATGGACAACTCGGGAAGAGGAGGTACGATCGTTCGAGTCTTCCAATCGACATAGAAGCGGAGGTCGGAAACGCATCAACGTAGTAATTGCAGTGTCGAACCGCGCGATCTCTCACCTGCACTCGCTTCTCGGCCTGCAGCATCCCTCGCAGAGGACAATCCTTCTGCAACCGCATTCCTCCCAGCTTCTGTTATCTCTGTACAAAACCGAGCAGTTGTTCTCCTGCGATTCCATCCGGCAGAACTGCCGCTCCTTCTTCAGGCAGCTCTTCGGGTAGCTGTTGAGCCTGTTGCAGCTCTGCGGTGCCGGCACGCAACAGCAAGTGCATCTGCTGTCCTCGATCCTCTCGTCGGAACGGCCCACGTTGCTGCACACTGAGAGAGGTTGATTCGTGCACACCGTGTGGATCACGATTTCTTGAGAAGTGCATCGGGATGCAGGCTGTCGCTGGGGATGTCGTGCACACACGGTCACCGACGGTTGCTTCAGGCCTGGACACACTTCGGTGTTTCTTGCTTCGCGAGCGTCTTCGAGAATCCTCGGCTTCGAGAGCTCTGGTCGCATCTCTTCGAGAATTCTCGGCTTCGAGAGCTCTGGTCGCATCTCTCCGAGAATTCTCGGCTTCGAGAGCTCTGGTCGCATCTCTTCTCGAACCTCGGAGTCCTTTCGATCTTTCGACTCTTCTCGAATGTCCTGGGGACTGATCTTTTCTGCTGCATCTTGAGCATCCATTGTCCTTGAGAGATCTTCTGACAATGCGTTTGTTTCTTCGAGATTGGAACTCTGAGGTGTGGGGACGGAAATTTTGCTAGCAATGATAGGCGACGATGACAAATTCGTTTCCTGTTCTTCAGGAACTTTAGGTTGGTCCTTCTGGTCTTCATCTTGCTTCTCTTCTTTGGCTTCGTCTGTATTGAACTTGCTGTCTGGGTCAGTCTCAGTGGACTGTTTATTCTTCTTCTTGGACGCAGTCTTCTTCTGATCCGTTGGTTCCCTTTTCTTGAAGAACTTGTTTATGTCCAGCCTCTCAGCCAGTGTCATCTTCTTCTCCCTCCGAGTCCCTTCAGTCTCGGACTTCGCAGATTGATTCGCTTCGACGCCGTTATCAGGTTCCTCAGATTTCTTATCAGAAGCACTAGTCCTCTTATCAGCGTCCTCGGAGTTCTTGTCCTTCTCCTTGCCCGAGACTCTTCTGAAAGTCTTGAACAACGATGTCTTCAGCCTTCCCGGGAATCCCTTTTTCTCCTCAGCACCGCCTTCGTCCTCTTCCTTCTTCTCTGTCTTCTTTTCCTTAATCTCCTCTCCACCACCTGCGACCCGATTCTCTTCTGGAGTTTCAGAATCTTCAACGTCTTTAAGGTGCTTCAGAAATTTATCCTTATCACGAAGGTTGAACTTCTTCAAGAATGCCGGCTCTGGCTTCTCTTCTGCTCGAGGTGAAGTCGATTCTTCCTGGTCAGGAGATGGTGCAGTAAGAGTTTGATCAAGGCCGGCACGTTTAGCTTGTATCAGACGTCTGAGAGCCAGAGCCTCGGGTCTTATCAGCTTCTGGGATATCACTGAGCTTGGGCGACGATCTAGATCATCCTCTACTTGTTGCTCAACCTGGGTTTCCTCCTCCGCCACGCTTTTCCTTTTATCCTCATAATCCAACGTGTCTCCATCCACCTGAGCATCCAAGTCGGCCGATACCCTAGGCTCCTCGCTCTCCTCGCTCTCCTCGCTTCTCCGACAAACCTGTTGTTCCACCGGTCTTTGGCAGACCGTAATCTCCGGAGACTCCTCCGCAGTCTCGCAAACATCCTCATCCTCTTCAACGATGCAACTGCAAGTGTTCACCGGTTCCCTAGATCTACAGACCCTCCTCTGGCTCCGAAACCCGCTGTGACACTTGCAAACATTCTTCTTTCGCACTCTACAGCTCTCCTTCTCAGAATCTTCCTCCCTCTTCAAGCTTTCAACATAGTAACCACCGTAATCAGGCTTGGGACCAGGTGCACGGTCAAAGTCCCTGCGACTCTGATCACATACGACAGTCTCAGCACCGCTGCCAGACTTCGACGACCATTCCTCGCTGTCGGAGACGACGGACCTTTGGGTAGGATAGATTGTNGCGAGCGTCTTCGAGAATCCTCGGCTTCGAGAGCTCTGGTCGCATCTCTTCGAGAATTCTCGGCTTCGAGAGCTCTGGTCGCATCTCTCCGAGAATTCTCGGCTTCGAGAGCTCTGGTCGCATCTCTTCTCGAACCTCGGAGTCCTTTCGATCTTTCGACTCTTCTCGAATGTCCTGGGGACTGATCTTTTCTGCTGCATCTTGAGCATCCATTGTCCTTGAGAGATCTTCTGACAATGCGTTTGTTTCTTCGAGATTGGAACTCTGAGGTGTGGGGACGGAAATTTTGCTAGCAATGATAGGCGACGATGACAAATTCGTTTCCTGTTCTTCAGGAACTTTAGGTTGGTCCTTCTGGTCTTCATCTTGCTTCTCTTCTTTGGCTTCGTCTGTATTGAACTTGCTGTCTGGGTCAGTCTCAGTGGACTGTTTATTCTTCTTCTTGGACGCAGTCTTCTTCTGATCCGTTGGTTCCCTTTTCTTGAAGAACTTGTTTATGTCCAGCCTCTCAGCCAGTGTCATCTTCTTCTCCCTCCGAGTCCCTTCAGTCTCGGACTTCGCAGATTGATTCGCTTCGACGCCGTTATCAGGTTCCTCAGATTTCTTATCAGAAGCACTAGTCCTCTTATCAGCGTCCTCGGAGTTCTTGTCCTTCTCCTTGCCCGAGACTCTTCTGAAAGTCTTGAACAACGATGTCTTCAGCCTTCCCGGGAATCCCTTTTTCTCCTCAGCACCGCCTTCGTCCTCTTCCTTCTTCTCTGTCTTCTTTTCCTTAATCTCCTCTCCACCACCTGCGACCCGATTCTCTTCTGGAGTTTCAGAATCTTCAACGTCTTTAAGGTGCTTCAGAAATTTATCCTTATCACGAAGGTTGAACTTCTTCAAGAATGCCGGCTCTGGCTTCTCTTCTGCTCGAGGTGAAGTCGATTCTTCCTGGTCAGGAGATGGTGCAGTAAGAGTTTGATCAAGGCCGGCACGTTTAGCTTGTATCAGACGTCTGAGAGCCAGAGCCTCGGGTCTTATCAGCTTCTGGGATATCACTGAGCTTGGGCGACGATCTAGATCATCCTCTACTTGTTGCTCAACCTGGGTTTCCTCCTCCGCCACGCTTTTCCTTTTATCCTCATAATCCAACGTGTCTCCATCCACCTGAGCATCCAAGTCGGCCGATACCCTAGGCTCCTCGCTCTCCTCGCTCTCCTCGCTTCTCCGACAAACCTGTTGTTCCACCGGTCTTTGGCAGACCGTAATCTCCGGAGACTCCTCCGCAGTCTCGCAAACATCCTCATCCTCTTCAACGATGCAACTGCAAGTGTTCACCGGTTCCCTAGATCTACAGACCCTCCTCTGGCTCCGAAACCCGCTGTGACACTTGCAAACATTCTTCTTTCGCACTCTACAGCTCTCCTTCTCAGAATCTTCCTCCCTCTTCAAGCTTTCAACATAGTAACCACCGTAATCAGGCTTGGGACCAGGTGCACGGTCAAAGTCCCTGCGACTCTGATCACATACGACAGTCTCAGCACCGCTGCCAGACTTCGACGACCATTCCTCGCTGTCGGAGACGACGGACCTTTGGGTAGGATAGATTGTGGAGCAAGGCTGCTCTACTTTGTCGCAGACGACGAACGTCGACTCTATCGACCGGTCGGATTGCACCTGGTCCTCGTCCTTGCATCGGCAGTCCGTCAATGTTGACTCTGTCTCCTGCGTGCAAACCGTGCTCGCCGATTCCGCAGCCACGTCCGAGAACTTCGAGTCGCAGCTGCAGGGGTTGCTGGGATCGCTGCTGTCCTCGGTGCTCATCAGGAAGTCCGAGGACTCCTGCTCCTGCCGCTTTCGCCGCTTGCTCCGGATGCGGTTTATAAGCTTGCAGGAGGAGGCGTTCGACGGCTCCGTCGTTGTCTCCGAACTGGATTCTGCGGCGGGCGGTGGCTTCTTCTGCTTGTTGGCCGGCTAGAAAATGTGAACAATCGATTGGTCAACGGTAGTCGTTCAGTTAACACTCTGACTAGTTAATATTGTTAATATATATATGCTAATTTTTAACCAGTTTTAAAAATGCATCGTAATATTTTCGAACAAACTGAATTTTATTGGAATGTTCGGCTGGTTTCGGTTTCATTAATTAATTCTGAGAAAACGATCGAACTTTTTGGGTCGACTGATTACAGTGGCGACCTTGATGGAGATTACTGGAGTTACCTGAGCATTCTCAGTGGCCTCCGAGCAGATGTAAATGTTCACATTGCCGGTCATCCGGCGATTGTCGGTCTTGCCAGGACTCGGCTTCGGCTTCGAATGTTTTTTGACCTTAGCGCCCTCGCAAGGGGTCACCTTCTTGCAGTAACAATTGGCGATCTCCTTCTTCCTAGGACACGTGCGAGCCTTCCTGCGCTTCTCTGGAGGTCGACTGGACTTGTGAGCGTTCGTGACGCGACTTGATCTACGGGAGGAATATTCCTCGGCAGATCGCGATCTCTCGCGCTTAGCTTTCCGCGAGGAATCTTTCCTGCGGCAGACTGTTTTGTCGATGGTATCCTTCGACTGCTTCTCGGGAGTCTTTCCAGCATCTTCCTGTTTCTGGAAAGAACGGAGGTGTACTATAATTCAGCAACGATAGAGCTTAGGGTGACAGAACAAAGAGATTGTCTCGAGGATCTGACTTCGACTTCAGTATCGTGGATACTTGCTTCTTAGGTACCATTCTACACTGCTTCGCGATAGTCTCGACCGCTTCCTTGATCGACACGTTGATCATCTCCGTCAGTCTATCACGGCTGATCTTGTCCTTGGACTCGTGCTGTCTTTTCGATGATTTTTCGCAGGCTTCGAGGTTGGGACAAGTTCTCCTGTCGCAGGATTCCATCTCCTTCTTTTCACCCGGGTACGAATCTTCTCTGACGATTTTTCCATTTTTCGGGATAGCAGCTGGCTCTTCTGGAATTTTCGGCTCCTCCGAAATTTTCGGCTTCTCTGGAATTAGCTTTTGAGGTTCCGTGAACACGGATGCGTCGATGCTCAGCGGAGGAGGGAAACTTGTGGCTTTGACATCGTGAAACGAGTGGTCAACGGTCTTGCTGAGTCTAGGGGATTCTTCTATCTGTTCAGGTGGGAGATCCTTTATCACCTCATCGGGAGATTTCGGAAGCTCCTCGGGCTGACCCTTCGTCGGTCTTTTGAACAAATCTGCAAATCCCATTTCAATTTGGAAAGGATCGCGAACTCTTTAAGGAACCCCTATTTTTTCCTTTTTCTTCTGTTGTTGATTAAACTGGCCCTATTCATCGAATGTGCTCCCTTTCCCGATGGCAAGGAGCTTCCCGAATTATTTCTACTCGGGCTTCTCACCACCGACATTGCCAGAATTAAAATATATTTGACGCGCAATTTTCGAAAATCCGACGCTCTTCGAAGCAGTTGCTAAATCATGCTTCGTCGACCACTTTGGTTTAGTAACTCGCACACCATATTCTGGCGTGGGAGCAACCGCCCGATGCTAATTTACAGTCATCTCGAAATATCGTAATTTCATAATTTTACTCCAGAGGTTATGCATTTTAACCGCATCGATGGTTCGAAACAATCGACGCTCTATTCGATTAAAATATCCCGTCGAAAATATGCGTGAACATACAAGAATGTAATCTGAACGCAATTATGTGTAAGAGTTACCGCCAGGATTTCCATTTATTTATGCGAAGATCGTACAAAGCTTTAATATGAACACTGTAAATCTGTACAAGTACTTTACATAATTGTTATATAAGAGAACTTTTAAATAGAGACGCCTAAGCAGTCGACTCGCTATCACTCGGTTCTCCAGCAGATGTGCAGTAGCAAGAAACGTTGCTCAACAGTTCCGGATCGAAGGAATAATCCACTCGATCTATCGATCGATCTCGCGTGTTCTTGTTGTATCTGTGTCTCTTGCAAGGCTGCACGCGAATGTTAATGATCAGGCAACTGATAACTAACTTTTCTATTCTCAATGCCGCGTTACCTTGAACGATGAAATTACTCGATCGGCAAAGTCCCTCGCCTTCGCAGATCTGTTCCTTGGTGGATACAATTGTTTCACTCGTTTCGTTCTGTCAGCCTTCTTGGACAAATGTATCAGAGGCTTTTCCTCTTCGAGTCTTCGGTTCCTAGTCCGTTTCTCCAGCTCGCGTAACACGTTCCTGTAGGCTTGCGTCTCTTGATAGGCGAATTTGGCGTCTTTGCACACCGATTTGCTCTGTAAATTTTGCAATTAATTAGCGTAGATCGTGTTACGTATTCAGATTTCTCCTATTAATACGAACTGTGCCTGGGAGATGACACATTGTGGCGCGTTGTGGTTCTCTGGCGGCCATTTTGGGGCGCGCAGATGCCGGAGAAGATCGAGGACTTCGTCTCGCGGCCTCTCTTTCTTGAATTAATTTCATTCGATCGTGGGCCTTCAATTCCTCTATCAATTCGGGACTCTGAAACATGGGTAAATATTTCCTCACCACGGGCATTTCGAATCCCCGTTGCGGTGCTTCTGGAGGATCTCTGGAATGTCCTGGATGATGGTGATAAATCCTGAAGAAAATGTCTCGTTAATGTTGAACGTTAAGTGGACGGTCGAGACTATTTTGAAATTTGAAGAACACCTATCGCAAGGAATTGGAGACTGGCAAACGTGTCCATGGTAGTGGCACTGCCCACAGAAACACTCGGAATGTTCTGCAGAGTGTCTGTGATACATCTCTGACTCGTCTTCGTATCTTCTTGTTTCGTCTTCCTCTGAGACGTCTCTGCTTCTTCTGCTCTTCGAACACTTCCGCTTGTGTCTCCTAGGCTGTTCTTCTTCGTATGGTGTTCTGTATTTGCGACAGTCTATTGTTTATAATTTTACATAAAATTTCACACGCACTTCATTCAGTTTATACCTCGCTTTTCGCTTTCTATCCTTATCCTTGTCTTTCACTGGGTAATGTTCCTCTTCTTCTCTCTTCAAGCGACGTCGTTTTCTGTCCTTTGAAAACTTATCTTCTTTGTAACTGAAACGAATTATACTTATTTAAATTATACTTTAAGATTCTCACTATAATTTTAATACCTTTTCCTAGACTCCTTCTTCTTTCTGTAACGCTTCCTTCTCGTTTCCTTCTCTTTGCCAGAATCCTTAGGAACTTCAATCTCTTTCTCAGAAATCTTCTTGCTATCACGTTTATGGATTTTAGTTTGAGTGTGCCTGCTTCTATCAGGTAAATCCGTCGCTTTGTCAATCTTCGATGATTCGACCTTGGAATCGATAGACACTTTTCTTCTCTTATCCTCATCTTCTGCAGGCTCTTCAACTGTATCAGTTTCTTCGGGCTTTTCTCTTCCTTCGTCTACATCCACGACGGGTACTTCTTTTGGTTCTGGCTCTTTAGATTTTTTACTCTTTAATCTTTTTTTTGGTTCTGGTTCCTCAGACTTTTTATCCTTAGATTCTTCTTCGGGTTCTGGTTCTTCGGACCTTTTATCCTTAGATTCTTCTGTTCGTTCTTGCTCTTCAGGCTTTTCATCCTTAGATTTCCTTCTTGGTTCCAGTTCTTCAGATTTTTTGTCCTTAGATTTTCTTCTTGGTTCTGGTTCTTCAGATTTTTTGTCCTTAGATTTTCTTCTTGATTCTGGTTCTTCAGATTTTGTATCCTTAGTCCTTTCTGTGAGTTCTGGTTCTTCAGACTTTTCATCCTTAGATTTTCTTCTTGGTTTTGGTTCTTCAGGCTTGGCATCAGTATCATCAGATTTTTCAGCTTCGTCTGTTGATATTGCTTCCGAATCCTGTGCCCCGTGATCCTCTTCTTCTTTATCAGACAGTGCAGATTTTACCTTCGAATACAATCCCCCAAGCTTACCAATCACCTTCAGTTTCTTATCGTCGCTTTTGCTTAAAGGTTCTTCCAACTCTTCAGATTTTTCTTCCTTTTCTTTCTTCTTTCTAGCTCTTCTATCTTTCTGTTTCAAATACAATCCTTTTAATTTACCTACCACCTTCGTCTTCTTCTCAACATTTTTCACTTCGTTCGGATCCTGTTCTTCAGGCGTCTCCTTTTTATCCGATCTTCCAGCTATTCTTTTCGAATAGAAGTTTTTCAACTTTCCAATCGTTTTCATTTTCTTTTTGAAACTCTTCTTCTCCTTCTTCTCCTTATCTGCCTCTTCAACACCTTCATCGGCACCACCCGATTGCCTTCTTACCTTAGATCTCTTTTTTAATTCGTGATCAGCTTCATCGTTCTTCCTAGACACCGAAGTTCTTTTAATTTCCTCTCGAATCGTTGGTTTTCCACGTCTTTTCGTAGTTATATCCTCAATCGTTCCTTCTTCCTGACTGCTCTCACTCGCCCCTGTTTCTCTCGACTCTTCGACGTCCTCTAACTCTGAAGAGTCGTCGAATATGTCCTTTGCTCCTCGTCCCTCCACAATCACTGACGACGACTCCGTCTCATCTGTATGCTCGGCATCACTTCTAGCAGTGGACGACACTTTCTCAGTTTCTGAGTCAACATTCTGAGTCTTCGAGGAATCCGTTCGCTCGGTTATAGTACTCATTCCCTGAGAATAAACGTCTCTATCCGCCGTAGCATCCTGAGTGATGTCTGACGTGCAGGAACAAGGAGGCTGCAAGCGAATGAAACCAAATAACGCCGCATCAATTTATTTCATCGATGAACGAACACCGTTACCACAAATTCGTCCTCCGTCGTATCTCGCCTGCTTTTCTTCTTGCTACTTATCACGTCCGACGACTGCTCGACGTCCTCCAATTGCTGCGAATCCTCCGTCTCATCCACTTCGTAATAGGACGTACACTTTACAGTTGACTCCAGGTACCTACGGACCAGTTAAAAGTCGTCTACCGATTTTAAAAAAATTAGTAAAACCGCTCGACTTACTTCGGCACTTGTTTCGTGGCGAACTTCATCTCGCGGGGGTGCCTGAAATCAAAGTTCTCCGTGTCGTCAGTCTCAACCCGTCTTCCGACTCTTCTTCGTGTCAAGCGGCCGGTGTCGGTCCTGTCTTCGTCCCGCAGCAGAGCCTCACTCTCGTCGTAGCACGAGGACGACGAAGATGACGAAGAATCCTTGATCTTCTTGGACCTTTTGTACGTCTGCATCGGCAGCTTCGACTTCCCTTGAAGCATGCTGACGATTCTGCTCATAAGCGAGGGTCGCCTCGTCTGCAGTCCCCGAACTTTCCCCTCGTCATCCTGCCGGTACAAATTTCCTTCAGCAAATATCCGCTTGTCGCGGATTCTAACGATGTAGACGCAGGGTAAACCCCGGCATTTCACAGGGCCGAGTCGCGAACGAATATCGATGGGAAACGAGGAACGAGGGCGGCACGGAATTAGAGGACTCGGTTCGCTACCTCGCCTCTGCCCAGCCAAGGAATCCTCGCGACCGCGCCGACGATTTTATTTATACGACCCCGTTTTTCTTGATCCCTTCGATCCTTCCCCAGCAGCTCTTCGCATTCGTCGTCCACCTCGACGTGTATTACTTCCTCTTCGTCGACCTCCTCCGTCGACCAGGACTCCGTGCCGGCGATCGAATGTGATGAATCGGAATCCCTCCCGCGGGGAACCGGCCTCTTTTTCAATTTAGAGTGGACCTTCCTACGAGCTCTCACCACGAAGCAGGATGTCGGCGATTCCTCGCAGGAGCACGACTCTCTCGCCAAGGGCTCGTTGAATATCTGGAGACGTTCGGTGTTATTGATTTTTAAATTATTTTTGTATATGATTTTATGCATCTGCGAGAAAAATTGGTTGGCACATTTTCAATTACTCTTGACTCCTAATCGAGACAGACAATTTTTATTTCGCATAAAGATTAGTCTAATTATTAGAGCACCTTGTTAATGATTATTAATTAATTAATAATTCCTAGTTTCATTGTGTCGTTGTGTCGTCAATTCCACTCGATACTAAGAATCTCAATCGCTTAACATGAAGTACAAACTTGCTAATCGTCACAAGCTACCTAAAAATTACTATCATTATGTAACGATAATTGTTACTACTTACCTGGATCGTTACATCGTCCCTAATTCTTTGAGCTTCCACGTCCTTGAACGGTTCTCTACGTTTCACGTCCTTCGTTACTCTCGGATCCTCGTCTTCATAAGCTGATCGAGATAAAATATAACATATAAAAAATGGTAAAAATTCTCGATCGAATTCTTACTGTAACTGTAAACGGAGTCGGTGTCTTCTTCGAATCTTTCTTCCGTCTGTTGAGCCATGTCCTTCTCTATTCTATCTTCTTCGTCTTCCTCCACCTTCTTTCTCAGCTTCTCCAATCTCTCCCTTTTCTCTATTTCGCTCTCTGCTTCCTCTTCAGTTGTTTCGTCAATTTCCTCTTCCTCTGCAGTTTCTACTTCTCCTTCGATCTCATCTGCTTCAGCTTCTTCTTCTTCTTCCTCGGCTTCTTCACGTTCTTCGACTTCATCCTCCTCTCCAACTTCTTCTTCCCGCTCCCTCAATTTCGCTTTCTCATCTTCCTCCGTCACTTCTCCAGGTAGCTCTTCAGGCTTCAGCTTGACCCTCGGATACTCATCTTCGGAAGAATCTCTGGTGCAAATAATACTCATCGAATTATCCCAAGAAGCTAATAATAGTAATAATAATAATAATTTTTATTTGATCAACGAGAGAAAAGAGATAACACAATAAAAAAAGGAGAAAATACAGTAAGTGATCAAGATATTTAAACAACGAGAAACAGAGAAAATAATTGAGAATAATGGAGTACGAGATCGTTAGCACGAACAAAATAGGTCTTAGTTAATTAAGTTAGTTAGTTAGTTAATTAGTAGGTAGTTGACGACTGCGATCTAACTTACAACTCCTCGCTGAGGTCCGACAGGTCGCCGTAGTCGACCGGCGACCGGCAGATGGTGCAAATATTTTGCAAATCCGCGAAACACGGTGGACAGAACAAGCCGACGCAGCCCGGGGTCGGACACTTTATGTGCGGATCGATGTCGGATCGTTCCACGGCGCTGCACAACAAGCACATCTTCTGCTTTCTCGGGAACAGAATGTTCAAGAAAGGACACACCGCCCAAAGTCTGTCCTGGAGAGTGACCTTCTCGATCTTGTCGTCTCCGGCCATGCCGAACTTCCGGCGCAGCTGCCGTCTGGCGAATTTCAGGAAGTTACCCCTTGACCTACAAACATCTTCCATTAGCTAAATTTCCGTTTATTCGTCGCGGACCGACACACGATTACCTGATGATGTGATTGTACAGCCAAGTGGCCCTCTGCTTGGCCCTGTCGGGATAGTACTGACAGAGGACCACGTGCCTAAGACGCAGGCCATACGGTTCGAAGAACGCTATGAACCAGCAGAGGATCAGCAAACCAACGATCTGAGTGTACCTGTCCAGATTAGGCGGCACTGGTTGAGGTAGACACAGCATCGTGTTGATCTCCGACTCCTTCCCGCGGGGTGAGAACGATCTAATTATGCTCCTGTATAGATCGGACATGTAGCCTTCGCCGGCGACATGAATGCTCACCACTGTCGGCTTCTCCACCTAGAAAGTACCGACTTCGCTCGTGAAGATGCTCCGAGCGATGAAGATTCCGATGGTCTACCTTGCTCTGGAATCTACCGTGAATCTGTATAGTGTTCAACACCCAGTAGAGACTGTAGTCTATGACCAAGAAGGCGATCAACTTGATGGTAGCCAGGCCCAAAAACACGGCGGACCTGACTAGCTTAAGCCTCTCGGATTTCACCAGCATGACGGAGGACAGGCTCACGTATTTGTGGCTCTCGCGAGGATTCAGTGGCAGGACGGTTTCTTTGTCCTGCCGAGCCCTGATTAGATCGATGGTGCGTAGATCCTTCGTTATGTACTTGTTGTCGAAGCGCTCGCTGGTCATCCATTTGAATCTGTAGCGCAATACTCTGGAAAGAAACGAATCGGGACACTTGATTCTAGAGTCCAATTTGGATTGTACACGCAGTCTTTGATTAAATTAGGTTATGCCCGAAGATGCTCTTTGCATTCTCAAAACTTAGATGGCATTGACTCATTGTATCGAAAAGTAATAGGAAAATACTAGGATCTTGTTCCTTCAAGACCTTGAAAATACAGGAATCTTATATTATCAAGATTATAGAATTAAATTAAGTTAAATTATATAATTTGCAAGAATGATATGACTGTAGACTGATTGCAATTGAACCAGTTGATTATATCGTTACTTGAGGACGATGATGAAGACGAAGAGGGACGTGACGAAGCTGATCGAGTCGAAGACAGTGAACAACGTGTCGGTCCTCGATCGTATCTCGGTCGCAATGCCGGTTGAAACATCCCCTAACGACTTGCTCTGGTTCGTCTCGAAATGAAACGAGTGAGAGAACTTCACCTTAACATAAAACATCGCCTTCATGTGCATTGTGAACCTTTTAACCTCTGTAAATCATAAAGATGAGACCGTGGAAAGATACGAGGTAAATCATTGTCACAGTTCGAAGATATAAAGAACGGGCGAGAAGTAGTTCGGGAAAGCTTGGACAATAGACGAAAAGACTCACTTCGTTTCACTGCACCGACCACGGTGTCAGCCACATAGGACACCAGCATGCAGATGAAGTCTAGCGGCTTCACTACGTAACAAAGTGTGCTGACCACGTAGGTAATGTTGCAGACCACCCCGAAGAATGGTCCAAGCTTCGCCTTGCAGTCGGCCACTGCACCGTCGAACACTTTTTGACACCTGTCGAACGGGGTGCCCAGTTTCTTGTTGCACATGTTGATCACGCTACCGAGCCATTGGAACACCGACGTAATCACCCTCACTGCAACAAAAAGCCATCGTTCGCAGTGTTGCAACGTTGTCCCAGTTTCTGCTATGAATTCTTTAGTCATTGTTTGTGCTCCATTCTGGCAAGAAATGAATTCAGTATTTATTGTTACTGGAAAAGCATGGGGAACCAAAATGGAGCATTTTCTGCTGAATCAAAAAATTACTCCTACTTTTCTAACGCTAAATTGTTCAGAAACGATTGAACAAATTCCTTTATTCAAGATTCCATTATAATCAAAATGGCGAACTGTGTAAATAGATTGAGCCTTATTCTTAAAAAGCAGCACACGTTAGTCGCTTTAAGAGCTCGGTAGGTTCAGCGCTAAGAAGCTTTAGTTCCTAAATAAGCTAAAAATTGCAATTCGCCTAAACACGCATATTTTGCACAAGGCGCGCGTTCTTACGTATACTGAGAACGATCCTCTTGATCGCGAGAAGGGTCTGCTTGATCCTCTTGACGACAGCTTTCACCGACTTGATGACTTTCGTTATCGCGTCCCTCAGTGCGTAGAACGGCTGCTTCGCCAGATCTATCACGGTTTTCACCGCCTCCTTCAGCTGCTCCTAGAAAACGAAGTAGATGACAGTGGTGTGTAGACCGCGACCACTATAATGAACCAGCCCTAGCGGTCGGCGATACTTGTTCGCCGATCGTGAAATAATGGGATGCCAGGATGGTAAATGATAGACGTACTTGCACGCAGGCCAGTGACTCCGTAAGAACGGCGGTGTTGTGCAGAGTGTTCTTCACCGGCCCGGTTAACGCTAGAATAAAAGCGTACGCGACCAACACCTGCCGCCCCCGCTTCGAGAAAAATTGGGGTAATAACAGGAACACTATACAGCTGCGGGAGAAATGGTAGAAAAGTCTCGCGCGAGAACCCTCGAGGGAAGCGATCGCGGTAACTTTAACCCTCGGCTGATGAGCTAGAAGACCCTGCTCGACCTCTTAAACGACTCCGCGGTGATTGCTGTTTTATACGTTTCCGGAATACACGGGCTCCGGTCCAATTAAACTGAAAGCAAGGCTCGACAACCTTTTCATTTCATATTTAGCCGGCTCCGCAGCTAAGTGTCTTCGATCATGAACTCGCTTCCAAGAACGTCTAATCGTTACCTTCCGCAATGTTCGTTAAAAGAAGATTTGTATGCTTTTTTCCTAGCCCCTAATAGGCAAAGTGTTCGAGTCGGAAAGGATCTCAAGCTTGATCTCAAGAGAGATGCGAATGCGGTGTGCTCTTCATCAGCCGGGGGTTAAAGAGCAGTCGCAATTTCTGTCTTATACAGGTTCTACATTGATCTTGGAGGTCACCGCGACGGGGAGACTCTACAATTGCACCCCCCGGGATTTTAATGAAATATTGTGCGGCTGCAGCCCCCCGCCCCTTGTGATTAATTATTTGAAAGCCGATTGTTCAGAAAATTGCTGGATCATCTTCCCAAGAGGATGCGCTTGGTGATCGATGAAGTTGCACTTCGTTATTTGATTTTCCTAACCGAACTCTAGGGGAGAACGCCAAGCCGAGGGTGAGAATCACCCCTATCGCGGAGCAAAGGTACGTGGCGGAGGAGAGCTTGAATCCGAGCTGGATGACGAAGAAGCCGAAGAAGATGTAGGTGAGGAATATTCCTCCGATAAAGCCGGCGAAACTTTTCGCGACGTAATTCTCCAAGGTGCCGTCTGTGCGGACATCGACGATCTTCCTGTAGATCCAAGAATCCTTCGGGATCGCCAAGATCTTGGCGCAGAGGTTTCTAACTTTCTTCTTCAATCTACCAAAAATGAATCGTGAACGAAAGTCGACGAAAGGGAGAATCTTTTACGCATTCGCAGAAGATCGCAAGGGATGACAGCGAGTTCTGGACAGATACTAAACGTAAATTCGAACTGCGACTTGGCAGCGAAAGAAACGTCGAATCTCACCGTAACTTCTGACGGCGGATCCGTTGCTTCAAAGTGTACCGAGGCTTGGCACCGCCCGAGATCTCGATCGATCTCAGTTTTTCATCCTCGTACGTTAGCCTCGCTTTTTCAAGCTTCCTGGCTTTCAGAGCTAATTGGAAGAATGCCATGATCCGAACCGTCTAATAGATCATACCGCTAAACGGAACTGGAATTAATTCTCGCTTCTTCTTCTATCGGGATTTATCGCTGAATTTATGGTTAACGTGTCACTGCAACCTGTAAATTAACCGTGGCAGCTCGCCTGACGTCGCGATAGTAATTTATTTTATAGCGCTCCTCGCAGTGGAGAAGTTCGCGCTCCTTTCGCATTGGACACCTGGAAATTATGGCAATTGCGAGAATTGCGGTTATTAGACAAGATGCGCGAGAGTTTCCCGATGCACTTTTCTGCAGCATATGTACTGGCTACATTTCATGTATCAAGTTGTATTGCAAGTATTTCAGACGAAACGCGCGTTATTTTAAGTTTCGTACACTCGTGTTTTTTTCGTATGCGCGTAAAACCCGCAGTCCGTTCTGATGAACGAATCATCGTTTATTCAGTTTTGCAATCGTCGCCCACATTTGTTAATCTCTCTGACAGCTTATCAACGATGCCGATAACGTATCCTAGGAGCACCGCGTCATTAGCGCTAAAAACTGCGAAGCGGTCGTACAATTACAGACAAGGTGTGGGCGTAGGCTCGACATTCGATGCATTATTTTGTTATCTAAAATTGGGGCTTCGGAAGCCCCATTACCATTGCCGTGTCGCGCTCATCGTTACCGATATTTTAGACATTTAAGCTTGTTAGCGAGAATCGAGTATTTTATATACCTCGTTTGTATTGAGGCACGTTTTACGATTTGGAAGCCACAAATTATAAACTGCAGAAGTTGAGTTCGCCTGCAATTAAGTTGATCAATTGTATCATTAAAAACGGAGGCTATCAGAATTATTATAAGTTCATTGTGCACGATTTATTTCTATACATATATACATATATATATAAACATTTCAAATCTGTAGACATTACAAAAATTGCAATCAATGTCCTTAATAAATGAAAGGTTTTCCGTCGAATCTAGAAAGCTTTTATCTTACGATGAAGCTCGCCCTCGTGCACTGTAATTAAAAAAGAACCTTGACACAGTTTAGTTGGTACAGCCAATAATAGTTTGAAATACTTTCGAAACATTTAGAAACAATTTCAAAATGTTTTTCAAACGATGTATCCAAATTCACGCGGTCAGGAAACGAAAGAATATTTCTAATTTAGAAAGGAATTTATATCGCGGCGCTGATGAAAGAAAGTTCGAAATATTCCAATATATAATGCACACATCAGGTTTCATTTATTACGTAAATATAACTCCTAAAATCTGCACTGTTTTCCCACCACAGTGTCTCGAGCTCGGCGAGGCCTTACCTCGGTAGACAAGGATGAAGACAGACTGCAGTGAAACGAAACAAGACAGACATACATCAATAGCGTGCTGCGGACTATACAATGCAAACATGATGAAAGAAAATTGTACTTTTAGTAACATTCTGTTCATATTCATAATTGCAGGACAAATCGATAGCCGAAATTTTTTCGATTAAGACGACACCAAACCCGATGCAGATCGGATTGCGTTTATCGAAGAAGAACTTGCTACATACTTGAACAATCTGAGCTGTCAATCGATGCTGAATTACGAAGGTTAGACGACAATTATCAAAAATGAAATTTTCCTTGTTGCAAGCTCATATTTTGTTGGCCGTCCCATCGAATGCTGAACTTCAATGTCGGTATTTCAGAGCATCGACACGGAACTCCGTATATGCTGTGCAGTCTACTCCGACAGCTCGTTCGTGGTAAAATAAACTCTGGCAAAGCCTCGTTCCACGGTCGCTCCGTCGAAACAGCTTTTACATAATACAACGATATCAGCGAATGCGGACCTGTTATCACCGGAAACTCCCGCAAACCGCGTTACCTCGAGGCAACATTCCCAAACCGCCGTGAAATCGAACCAAAGACAGCAAACGTTGAAAATACTTCTCCAAAAAGCTGTTGTAAAGAGGATCGAGGGTAGAGAATCGATCTAAATCGACGAGATCCGCGATCGAGCGTCGCGTCGCGGGAACAGGTTTGAAACATGCGTTTCTAGATTCAACGGTGAGATGGCGTGTGTCTCGAGGTTCGATCATCGAAGGAAGACAGCGAGACATACAGCGAACGAGCTCGAGAAGGATCGAAGCGGGTTTCGCGTCGACTCCGAACGAGTCGGAGAGTGGTCGAGCGTGTAGGCGAAGAGGGGCGCCGAATCTAAACCCGATAACGAACCAGCTGGTGGCAGTGTCGTCGTGCGACGTTTACGTGGAGGTACGACCTTCGCGAAAATCCATTTCCCGGTGGGCCACGGTCGATGATACGGCGGGTCGAGTGGCTTGGACCTAGGGATCCATCCTCGAGCTGAAGAGGGATCGAAGGGAGCGCGGTGCAGGAGCGTGCCCCTGCGAGATCTACGGATCGGCCCGGCCCGGCCCGGGTACGAACTGCCAAGCCGAAGGGAGGCGAAGGGAAGCGAAGGGAGGGCCGTGCGGCAGGAATAAGAGAAAAAAAGAATAGAAATAAAAACAGAAACATGCCGTGACCGCGCCTCGGTTGACATCAGGATGTACTGTAGATCCGAGGGAAGAAGTCGTCCGCGGCGATCGTAGCGCGAACCACACGATCGCGACGACAAATGTCGTAGGTACCTGGTTATCTGTGCTCAGGTGTGTGCGTGTGTGCGTGAAGAGTCGTGTGTGCCTGTGGCGGCGGCTGCTGCTGCTCATCGTACCTGACCTGACCCAGGCCACCTGGACCAGACCACGATGACGACGAAGGAGCTGTACGTCAAGGTACGATCCGCGGCCGCAGAGCTTGAAGAACGGTCCCCGTATTTCGATTGTTCAAACTGTTATGGGAGCACAGAGAGACACTCTCGCGACTGTTATTAGGTGTATCAGTTTCGATCTCGTTTCTTCAGAACCGATATCGCCGCGATGTTATTTCACGACTGTTATTTTTCGGTTCTGCGCGGTAGGCGAACACGTCCGTCCGGTGTCCATAGTCGCAGTTTGTCGACAACGCGATGAGATGCAATGCATTTGTTGCGTGAAATGGAATTACAAACGAAACGCATAAAGGAAAACCATGATCGAAGCACACACACACACAGTACCGAAAATGAACGGTTCTAGGACCGATGCAATATCGGTTCTGAAGAGCCAAAACCGAAACCTATAGAAGCCAGAATCGATACATCTTACAACAGTTGCGAGGTTTTTTCGGCTCTAGATAACTGCTTTAGTCCGGGACCGACGTACAACACAGTTTGGAACAGGTATTTTCGAACCTTTTCAATCTCTGCCGCTGCCTCTCTGTTGACACTTCTTTTTTTCATCTGACCACGACACCTGAGACCACCGTTACCTTCTCGTAGTTACCAGTCTAGGCTCACCTGAACACCACTTCCTGACCAGTCTTGTTTCGTAGCTCGTCACTTTTGTCCTTCCATCGCATTCTTCCCTTCATTCCAGATCCCCGAAGAAAAACCGTAAACATTGATGGCCCGAGACTGTACGCGACGCTGATTGTTTCGTCGTACGAGAGATATTTATTGCGGTTTATTGCGAACGAAAGAATCGATTTTGTTTGCGAGATGACCCTGGTAAACTTTCGACGCTTTGGTTTGCGACAGGCTGCGGACTGCGAGGTCTTAGTTGCTTTTTTACGTTCTTTAGAGTGCAATAAAATCTATTTAGCTCGTTAGCTCGTATAAGTTTATAGATAGTTGCATGGAAGTCTGCAGTCCGGCGATAAAAGTTGCGAGAAAGTATGGAAACTGACTTCAAAAGGTATATAACATTTTCGCCACTTGAAGTTCCAGGGGAGTCAGCGTTCGAACATTGGAACAGCTGCTCATGCTACTAGAGTACATGTTCGGTGATTTGTACAGTGAATTAATTTAAATATTTAAAGTTCTCTCGGGAAATCGGTGTTCGAATAATGGCACAGTTACTTGGCTGTGCTCTGCCGGAGTACACGTTCCGCGACTCGTCCAATAAATCTAGTTTACAACTTTAAACTGTTCACACATGATAATAAATTTCGAAGTCAGAGAATTCGGATGTTCTGATAATCCAGAAGCCGGAGTTCTGATACTCTAGGCTTTACTGCACTCGTTCTCAATTTTCTTATGGAGCTGCGTGCTTTCAATTCACCAGCATCTGTCTTCCACCGACGACTCTTCGTGTCCGATGAGACGTAACAATTGACTTTTCTTGTGGAGATTGCCTCCTCGTTCGAGCTTGACATTTAGGATTGCCGCTCGAGTACTTTAAGGTCGTCGGAAACCTGGGATTTTCCAGCGAAGCGACCAGTCCCCAGATGCAATTTCCCGAGACGCAATTTTCTGTGAACGTTGTTAAGGAGACCGACGGTCCTCCAACTTCTGCGCCGGATTTTCGTGTCTCGCGGAGAAGTTCGCCGGCCTGTCGTGTCTGGAACGGGTACGATGGCTCCTAGCTCGTGGCGAACGATCGCGAATCGTTTCTGGGAACCGAGAGGGTTCCGCGATGCCAGCGTTTTCCGTGGTTTTCGTGAAAGTGGCACCGGCCAGTCGGTTATTCCGCGCGAGAATATCTGTCGCGGATGTTTAACGAGTCCCTATCGATTTTCTGTTTGCTCGCGGCACGCTTCGAATTATGTATTTCCCCGCTCTCTCGGCCGCGTGCGCGAATTCCCGTCGAAACTTTCCTACGCCGTCGGATGCAAGGTTAATTGTTCCTGAAAATAATTGGATAGATATCGTCCCAATTAGGCGACCGGCATGCATCATCGGTCGCGAGCGAAGGTGTCTTTCTCAGGCTAGGAACAACTTTCACGAGGCGGCTGCGTCTTTGGCCTCCGATTCGCGATATTCCCGAGCGTGATTGCGTTAGATTCTACCGGCTGGTTCACGGAAAATGATCCTCCTTTCAGCCACAAACCCGTGACGGCATGCGATAGTTGCTCTATTTCTAGTTGAATCGTTTATCGACTTCTCGGACAATTTTGCCCCGAAGCTGAACGATTTCGTATCGTCTGACTGGCGGGGGTTCGCCTCTAAAATATTTCCACGTACAGGCTCTTCAAAAGCAGGCGGTCCAGTGACTCTCTAGAATATTCCGCTCCGATTGCAACATTGATAGATTTGTCGCCATGATTATCGACAACCTAGCCTGTCCGTTGCGGCACTCTATTTAAACTTCGCAAATGTCTCGGGTTATAGGACGTTTCGGAGCAGCGTTAAAAATAGGGGCGAGCGCAGTGCAAACAAGTCGCGATTCTTTTCGAAACAAAAATCAATAATCGTCGTCGGGAGGCTGAGCGCCTAGAGACCTAAATTCTGCTTCGAGAACCAGACTTGTGCGATCGTTGCGGTAAGTGCGCGACAGTTTGTCCCGCGCGAGAAACCGCCCCCTGTAATCGCGACATCGTCCCTGAACATGAAACACCGATCCGCTGTCCATAATCGCGGTCATTTATTTCTGCTTTAAATGTCGCGCCGCGTTGCGTCGCCTCGCGTCGCGTCGCGAAATTAATAGAATTAATGCGGCGGAACCGAGCGCGTCGTTCGGGTCGGTTTAAAGGTCGCTTAACGTAGAAACCTCGGTTAGAAAGCGACGTTTAATCGGACAGAGAAACTACGCGCGATTTTCCGAAGAATTTCGTAGTCGAGCCAATAAAGGGACATCGTCGACACGCTCCAGAGACTCGGGATTTTGATACCCCTATGTTGTTGACCGGCCACGTTATTTGTCGTCTTTTAATCGCCGAACGTAATTTACTGGGTATCGTATGTCGAACGTGGGAGCATGTCCACATACTGGACAGACTCGTCGAAATTCTAGAATGTTTGCAAATAGTGATTGGTTCATCTACTCAGGAAATCTCGCTGGAATTGAATGTTCGGCATATTACGAAATAAGAGATCCTCAAATTTTGCAGGAGTCTAGATTGGCTAGAGAAAATGGTTGAAGATTCTGCCAATTGTTCTCTGTTAAAATCGCTTTACTCCATTACGATGTACCAGGGACTGTATAAGATTCTAAAGTGACCAGCGACATCGATTAAACATTCACGTACCTATTAAATCTCGCTCAGACCGTTTTACACCGTCAAATTGTATAGGATGGTGTAAAATTGGTGGTCGTTTGCAGCATTTTCTAAAGTACGCAGAAAAATTCATTGCAATTCCATTCTCTCACTGGTTCTACCTCGATCGTATTTACACCCCGATTCCCATTAGGGGAACACGTCCTGCAGGAAATGATACCCACAGGAGATCGTTCCAGTACAGTCTGTGACACTCTTAAACAATTTTACGATACTCTTAAAACTACAAAGCTCCAAATAAATACCTTACGCGATGGAGCGCCAGTTTCTACAAGAATCCGATGATCAATGACGTGTTAATATGACACAGAGGTCTGCTAATAGTAATTGCAGGTTGCGTAGAAGGTACCTGAAGAAGCGTGGGTGATCGGAATCGGATGCATACTCGAGATAAGTTGATGTTCGACCGGCGAAGAACGAGGCTTAACGCGTCTCAGACCTGCCCCTTTAAGATCGTACGGCAAGCTCTCCATCTTGGCTGATTTGCTGCCTCGGGCAGGTGAACTGCGAGGGTTGTCCGAGGTCCCATCATGCATTTTATGGAAGTGCACCTTCTATAGGCCGCATTGATCCCTGGGACGGCGCCTTGTTTGCTTCAATTTACTTCGATTCATATCTCGAGTCGCTGAAGCGTGGCTTCGTTAGGGATGTGAAACGTTCCGGGCTAATATTCATTGTTAATAGCACTGTATTCACGTGCAGCAGTCTGTGCCCGACAAACAGGCACTTGAATGCGCTATTTGCATCACTGGTTTCCTTCGCAACCGGTCGCTTCCACGACGATCTTCGCGATTCTTCCAAATTTCTCCTCCCCCCTCCGTCCTTTGTTCTTCTTCCGTCTAATTGGAACCCCTCCTCGTCCTTCGGTTCTTCAACTTTCGCTGCTCTTTAACTCTTTTATGGGGGTCTTCTGGTCCAGACGGGTATTTTCTTTACTTTCTTAGGGAATTATTTTCATTAAATCAGTGGATCATAGTAAGCCACATTTTTCTCGTTGCGAAAGGCAAGGAATATTTATTAACATGAATATCGCTTACTAGTCGAGTTTATAGTTATCATAATTTAGAGCGAAGTGCATTCATAGTAATTATTATTTGGTATTATGTTTGGCATTTAGTTATTTATTATTACATAGCATATAGTTATGTCGTATTAAATGCTATTATCATACAGAATTTATTTCACTAGGTTTTTAATCATTTTGGTACGTATAGATTGCATTTCCAGGCATAAGTGAAAATTTTCGAAAATGTTACTTACGCCACTATGATTCTAACCCATTCACATGTTTGACAACGTTTGGAAAGTACAGAAAAATACAACTACAAAGTAAAGAGGACAATCCTCGAGACCAGAAGACTCGTTTAATTAATTTCATCCTAGAGCTGAGACTCCTTGGAACATGATTTCTCCCGAGCTCATTTGTCCACTTGCTCGACTTCTGTCTTTCGGTTCTTTCACTTTCCCTGATCCTTTAACCCTCCGAGCCGATGTTACTCATCCAACGGAGAGTCCCTCGTCCCTCTTCCGGATTTCTACTTGCCCATCTGCAACCGTGCAACCGCGCGAACGTGGCAGAGCGCAGGGCAATAAAAGTCGCGTTATGCAACGAACCGCAACGCGAACCGGAGTCCCGATCGCGCCTTTACGTTTAAAGGTAAGCCAAGCCGCATTCGAAACTGTTGCTCGCACGATCGGC